TTCAGAAAAGAAAACCTTCTCAATATTGGCAAACAATAAAATTATTGGACTTACAACTACTATATTGGATGAACTGAAACAATTATCTTTCAAAGAACTTGAACTACCTTCTACTCCTAAATTGTACAAAAAAGATGGAATCTTTTATTTCAAAAATAGAATTTACATTCCTCCACACAACAGACACTCCAAAACTCAGAAACAACCTTTTAAAATTAATTCATGATACCCCCATTGCTGGACATCCCGGAATAAAAAAGACACTTGAACTCTCTACTAGACAATATTGGTGGCCTCGTCAAGACAAAGCCATTGAATCCTATGTAAAGTCTTGTCCAGTTTGTCAAAGGTCCAAAGTGGAACGTCACCTTCCTTATGGAATATTGACTGGATTACCAGTACCTGAGAGACCTTGGCAGTCTATTTCCATGGACTTTATGGTGGAACTCCCTCCTTCTCAGAAATACACCACCATCCTTGTTGTCGTAGACCGTTTCACAAAAATGTCACATTTCATTCCTTTAAAAAAGTTACCTTCATCCTCTGAACTTTCCAAAGTTTTCATTGACAATATAATCAAATTACATGGATTCCCTGAAGAAATAATCTCAGACAGAGGTTCTCAATTTACTTCATGTTTTTGGAAGGAAATGTGTTCTTCACTTCAAATCCAACGTAAACTCTCTTCAGCATACCATCCCCAAACAAATGGTCAAACAGAATGAGTCAATCAATGTCTGGAACAATGCCTTCGTTGTTACTGTACATATTTAGAAGATGATTGGAGTAATTGGTTACCGATGGCTGAATTGCCTATAATAACTCCATACATTCAAGCAGCAAAATGACTCCATTCTTTTCAAATTATGGATTCCATCCCTTCTTGTTTCCTGATGATCCCAAGACAACTTCTAATCCAATGGTTTCTATTCAAAATATGGAAATGTCCTCATTGTTCAAGCAATTAAAGAAAAACCTTGAAAGTTCTATGACCTTACATAAACGGAATTATGATGTTAAAAAGAGGGCTCCTCCTAAATATAAAATTGGTGACACTGTTTGGTTGTCTTCAAAAAATATTTCTACTAACAGTCCTTCTAAGAAACTAAGTCCTCTTTTCCTTTGACCTTTTCAAATTGAATCCATTATTAATGAAAATGCTGTGAAAGTGAAACTTCCTCCATCACTTAAACTTCATCCTGTTTTCCATGTTTCACTCCTAAAGTCTTTTCTCCCAGATCCCTTCCATAGGGAACAATTGTTGAAGCCAGACCCCATTGAAGTTCAAGGTGAATTGGAATATGAAATAGAAAAAATTCTTGACTCCAGACTTCATAGAGGTAATTTACAGTACCTTATTAAATGGAAGGGTTATGGAGATGAAGATAACACCTGGGAGAATTCCTCTGAAATACATGCAAAGAAGTTAATTACTGCGTTTCACAGAAGGTACCCTCAGAAACCGAGGTTATAGCACCAGGACTAATGTAATTAGGGAGTTTTACAAGCTGCAGTTGAGTTCCAATCCAAATCAACCAAGTAGCGTAACAGAATCACCAAGCCATCAAAATGGAACCAGGTGGGGGACCTGTCATGCGGTAACACTTCCGGGTTCGGCACTTCCGCGATGCGGACCTGACCCCGCCCCTCTCTGACGCGGCTCTGACTGTACTTAAAGGACCACTATAGTGCCAGGAAAACATACTCGTTTTCCTGGCACTATAGTGCCCTGAGGGTGCCCCCACCCTCGGGGTCCCCCTCCCGCCCGGCTCTGGAAAGGGGAAAGGGGTTAAAACTTACCTTTTTCCAGCGCTGGGCGGGGAGCTCTCCTCCTCCGATCCTCCTTCTCTCCTCCCCGTCGGCTGAATTCGCACGAGTGGCAAGAGCTGCGCGCGCATTCAGCCTGTCACATAGGAAAGCATTCATAATGCTTTCCTATGGACGCTTGCGTGCTCTCACTGTGAAAATCACAGTGAGAAGCACGCAAGCGCCTCTAGTGGCTGTCAGTGAGACAGTCACTAGAGGGAATGGGGGAAGCCTTAACCCTCTGAAACTGCTATGTTTATGAAAAAATGGGTTAACCCTAGCTGGACCTGGAACCCAGACCACTTCATTAAGCTGAAGTGGTCTGGGTGCCTAGAGTGGTCCTTTAAGCAGTCCGCGCCAGAGAGATGGCGCTTGGTGATTGAGTGACCTACTTCCTCCATACTCGCCGGCTCCCGAGGCTCTGACAATGTGGGACCGACTTCCTGGTATACACGCCGGCTCCATAGACTCTGACAAGCCGTCCTAGCCTTTGAGCTAATACATGGATGATACTGCATGCCATGGAGGATTACTGGAGAACTGATACTTGTTAATTATCAAGTGGACTATAACTTTGAACTCTTGGAGGATAACTCACCTTAACCTTAAGTATACCTTTCAACTATTCTCTGCTATCTCATTTATTGATTAACTATTTACGGCTTGCTTAAAACTTCACTGCTTCAAGCTACTAATTATATGGAGGACAATTCCCATCAAGCTTAATCACTAGGAACTGTTTCTTGCTTTGAAAATACTTTGCTACCTGCGAAATATCATTATTGAAGATTATTCCTAGCAACCTAATGAATCTTATTTAATATATCTCTAAGGAAATACTTATTGATGAACTTTGTATTGTTTAATGACTTTCACTTATTCTTATTGGATTATTGCCTAAATGCAATTCATTTAAATGTAACAATTATTAAAACTTTATTTGATTCTCAAAGTGCCAGCAATCCTCTCCTTTCTTAAAGCTACAGTATTGATACTTTAAAGATTCTCCGTTTCTTCACTATTGTAATTAGGAAGTTTTACAAGCTGCAGTTGAGTTCCAATCCAAATCACCCAAGTAGCGTAACAGCATCAATATAGAAGATTTAGAACTAAAGATCTGTCTCTAGGCAGATGATGTGATCCTTACTATTACTGACCCTTGTAACTCACTTGAACATTTAATGTGTGAGATTCAGGAATACGGGAAAATTTCAAACTATAAAATTAACGTTAAAAAAACTACTGTATTAAGCATTTATTTAAATTCCTCTTCCTTAAGTCAATTAAAAGAAAAATTTAATTTCCATTGGACCAAGAAAGATTTTCAATACTTGGGAATTATTTTAACTGCTAATCCCAAAAATATAGTAGAGGACAACTTTTTTAAAATGACCAAATGTAAAAATAAAACTCTCAAAGACTGGCGTTCGCTAGAAATCTCTTGGTGGGGAAGAGTAAATACCATCAAAGCATTTATTATCCCTAAATGGCTATATCTATTCAATATAATTCCATTAGAATTCCCCAAACCATGGCTGGATATACTCCATCACTCTTTTTCCAATTATATCTGGAAAGGAAAAACTCCAAGAATTAAAGCTCACATTTTAACAAAAAAATTAATCAAGGAGGTATGGCACTTCCCCTGATTAGAGATATATATAATGCTATTATTATCACTCATATTCATAAATTTCAGATCCTAGAGGCCAGAAATCAAGTCTGGTATATAATTGAATCAAATTATCCCTTTTCATTTGGGACGATTTTACTAACTTTAAGCATTCTTTCTAACAAAATTCGATTACTGTAACCCATCTTATAGAAGAATGGTAATCAATAAAAAAATTACTTGAAATAAATAAAAAAATATTCGAAGGAGCAAACATCCGACTTCTGGAAAGAGTTATTCCTGATTTAAATCTTGGTACTTGGAGAGCTCTTAAAGAGATTTTTATTGACGATCTCATACAAGATAATAAGATAATGCGACCACATCTAGGCTTGCTAGCATTGTGTATGGTCTCAAATCCCTCAATTGCTGAAGAACATGAGGGGCTAGGTGAGACAAAGAGACAAACAGAGAGGCTGTGGGAGGGAGAAAGAGACACACAGAGGAGCTGAGGGGAAGAGACACCCAGAGGGGCTGAGGAAGGGGAAAAAGAAACAAAGAAGTTAAGGTAGAAATAGGCACACAAAGGGGCTGGGAGAAGAAAGAGACACAAAAGTTGGCAATTATTTGTTTTGTGGGGGTGGGCGCAATTAGCTGGTTATGGCTAGGGCGTGAAATAATCTTGCACTTAAAACAGACTGTGCAATAATATGCACAGAGAGCAGAAGGATCTCCTGTGGAAGGTCTTTTTACTCTCCCTGTCAATTAATACTTTGGCATAGAATCTGTGCAAAAGGATTGATTGACAGCAGGGAGAAAGACCTATTTAAAAAAAAAAAAAAAAAAAAGTTTTTCTCCCAATCTATACATTTACTAGTAAAACTTCTAGCGCAATCTATAGATGAAATTTGATGATCTTTTAAAAAGATCAAATGTAGTTTTGTCCCTGACAGGTTGCCTTTAAAGTATCTTTACTATTGGCATGTTTTGTAAGGCGAGGAGACCAGTTGTAGAAGATCAATTCCGTCACTGCTTTGTGTAGCATCATGAAAGTTGTGCATCTATTTAGATTATAGGGGTTACTACTAATCTGGAGTGTCCCCTAAAGTTAGCTATTTTGTTAGCCCTTGTTAGTTTCAATCTTTTTAGTGTTGTGAAGCAGTATGATACATAACGTATAATTTGTTACCCCTTTCTTAAATACGTCACCATCCAGTTAATTCTAAAAAGCAGTAATTTGTGACCAGGTAAACATGCCGAACTGCTTGGGATTTAAAGCGAATTTACATTTTTTGCCCAAAATATCAAAACTGGCAGTAAGACTTGTATAATTTGTCCAGTGTGGATATTTTGGGCCAAAAAATAAATAAAAAATAGACATGAGATAAAATTCACTTTGACTTCCCAATTATTGCCACTTTATCAGTGATCACCCCTGGGGGTGTAACAGTATCTGTAAGTGTTAAGATACCCCTGGATCCCTGCTTTATCACACAGCTCCTCAGACCCCGCCCACTGTGCGAGTGGCCAAGAATTTGGCGATGACTTTCTCCCCACACCGCCTGTTATTTTTAGGAATCACTGCGCATGCGCAACGTCAACACCTACTGACAGCGCTCTACGCGTGTGCATGAGAAACCAAATAGGGCACTAAATCCTCCCTCAACGCCCGGTTTTAACGGCTCTGAATACGGAACGAACTGCCCCAACCTCACAGGACAACCCCCCCGCCCCATCAACCCCGTATTACGGGAAACAGCTACGCCGTTTCCGTAGCGCTGACGCGCTTTGTCCCAGCGTTGCCTTGTGGGGGTTGGAGTCCTGACGGGTGGGCTTCTCAACAGGCAATTCGGATCTGCGGACTACAATTCCCGGAAGCCTTCGCGCGCGCGTTTGGGCAACTTCAGTGTAGCCAAGAATTTTGGGGAAGCTTTTAGAAAGTAGGGGGGGAGGGAGGCCGTGTGAGAGTGTGGGATCCCCGAGCTGGACTGAGGGGGGATCGCTGTGTGTCTTTATCACAGGGGGGCCCCCAATACCTGATGACATGATTCATGGGGATGGGCCTGCAGACATGAGCAGTGAGGAGTCAGACATGCAGAATGCACAGTGAGTAGAAATGCCAGGGGCTCCAGCACAGCCTGCTTTATTAACATAAATATTATATTATTATATACAGCCTGCTTTATTAACATTATTATATTATATTCTATACAGCCTGTTTATTAACATTATATACAGCCTGCTTTATTAATATTATATTATATACAGCCTGCTTTATTAATATTATATTATATACAGCCTGCTTTATTAACATTATATTATTATGTACAGCCTGCTTTATTAACATTATATACAGCCTGCTTTATTAACATTAATACTATATTATATACAGCCTGCTTTATTAACATTATATTATATTATATACAGCCTGCTTTATTAACATTCTATACAGCCTGCTTTATTAACATTATATTATATTGTATACAGCCTGCTTTATTAACATTATATTATATACAGCCTGCTTTATTAACATATTATATGATATACAGCCTGCTTTATTAACCTTATATTATATACAGCCTGCTTTATTAACATTCTATACAGCCTGCTTTATTAACATTAACATTCTATACAGCCTGTTTTATTAATATTATATACAGCCTGTTTTATTAATATTATATACAGCCTGCTTTATTAACATTAATATTATATTATATACAGCCTGCTTTATTCTATACAGCCTGCTTTATTAACATTAATATATTCTATACAGCCTGCTTTATTACCATGAACATTCTATACAGCCTGCTTTATTACCATTAATATTATATACAGCCTGCTTTATTACCATTAATATTATATACAGCCTGCTTTATTAACATTAACATTCTATACAGCCTGCTTTATTAACATTAATATTATATACAGCCTGCTTTATTAACATTAACATTATATACAGCCTGCTTTATTAACATTAACATTCTATACAGCCTGCTTTGTTACCATTAACATTATATACAGCCTGCCTTGTTACCATTATATACACCCTGCTTTACCATTAACATTATATACAGCCTGCTTTATTACCATTAACATTATATACAGCCTGCTTTATTCTATAAAACTGTCTGTTCTTATACAATTCTTACTTAATCTTTTTAATTGTTGGTTTATACATTTTTATTTGTGTGTTATTACCCTATCTAAATACCTGAACAGTTAGCTTTACTGGATGTCTGGCATGTGATCACTGACATTTTATTATAATGTAAATATTTCACTTCATTTCTTTTCTAATATTTGGGTTTGACTGTCCTTTACTGCAGCATTTCTGAAATGAAGTTTAGTAGGCTGCAACATGGTTTATGGGGTTTATGCAGAAGCTTGGATTTCTTGTAGTTTGGGGATCATTGGTTGAAGAGATGACATTCTAAAGTTGTTTGATTTGAGGGACATGAGAAGGGGGATAGTAAACTTGGAAGCTGAGACCAAGGTTTTCTGTTTCAGGGCAGCATCTTGCCACTCCCTCATATCTACAAAAGGACAAAGCTATATGCAGCTTGCTGTAGTACTGAGATTAAAACTTGCTGGGTTACTATTCACTTAAGTGGGAATTGTTGGGAATTGCAAGTGTATTTCATATCATAGGACAATATAGCCGGATTGAAAGAAAGGGAAAAAAAAAAAAAAATCTCATCTGTGTTTACATTTAGGCTTATGGTGGCCTTAAATGTAAACTTCACTTTGAATTCCAAGCAAGTCACACTATAGTAATTATCCTGCTTTATGTCACATAACCACACACTGCTACCTTTTCATATGAAGACTTTGCGCAGTGCAAATACATCAAAACCTTTTGTAAACATAGTAACTTATAGGCCTGTTTTCTGCTTTTCTGTTTTCTATCTAAGAAGTGATTTAAGTGTTTTTATTATTATTTATAAAGTGCCAACAAATTCCGCAGCGCTGTACAAGAAGTGGACTAATAGACAAACATTGCAACACGAGTTGGATGCACAATTTGTTTTAAAAAGAGAAAAAAAATAAGCATGCATATTCCAATATCTGAATATTTCTGGAGTGGTAAATGATTATCATAGTATGATGAATTATCAGCTGTCTTGTTTGTCATATTGAATACTAACCACATTAATCACGGACAAATGCAGTTCTGATTTTGCTAGACATCTCTATATGACCTTGAGCAGAGTTTTTCCTTGTTAGAATCTACTTGTAAGCTGCAATAACTTTGAGTTTGATGCATAAGCAGCCAGGGCTAATTTTATACATACTGCATTAATTGACGTCATAAATCGCTTAACTAGAAAAATGCAGTGTAATTGCTTTAATTTTTAAATATGCCTTGCTGTGCTGCAGATCAAACATTTTATTTAAGATAAGTGAAAAGGCATTAATAACTGTTATTACAGTTGCTCATTTTAATTTTATGTTCATAAAGGGAGTTTATTTCCCCCCCAGGGATTTTTAAACCAGTGTACAATTTGGTGTTTTCAATATTCGTAGCATTATTCAAAGGACAATTTGAGCAACGTTCAAAAATTAAAATGACACTGTAAAGATTTGCTACTGTGTGCCCTTTTTTGTTTCTCTGTTGTATTATATGCAGTGTCTGTTACTAAATATTCTAGTAAGCACTAGTTTGTTTATCCCCAGGCATAAAAGTTGGTTTTATTGCATGCGTTTATAGTAGGCTTGGTAACGGGACTACATTAGCAATTATAAATTGCAAAATCACATCCGACAGTAATCCAAATTTGGAAAGCTGATACACCGATTTGCACAATGATATCATTAATTCAGATTAAATTTTATATACTCTGGTATATTTCTGGTTTATACTATTAATAGCAGAAAGTTAAAAAAAAAAAAACCCAATAAAACCAACATCTTTTAAAGCATCTTAAACCGTTATAGAGAGCTAGCTAATAATTACGTATAAGAACTATCCTTTTCAAAAAGAATGTATAAACATTAATTTTGATGTACTAAAAGGGCATCCTGGAGCTGAAAATCATTTTAATGCGATCTATTGAGAACACCTAAAAATGCATTACATAAAAAGAAAATATTCATCTGTGAGGCTTATTTATAGACCAGTGATTCCTAAATGCTGTTAAAGTGTTTGGTGTGTGGATTGCTGTGTATTAAAAAATATCTCTGCAGCACACCCAGGTGTGGGTGATGTCATTGCCCACTAATGTATTGGACTTGCTCATGCATGCTTGGCCATCTACTTGGGCTACTACTTGTAAAGTATGGTATGCCTTCACAGTGCACTGCGCACCTGGATTCTCATACCAATATGCAGGTTTATAAAATATACATTTTATATGCTCTTACATGATGTAAATATAATTTTTTTTTTTTTTTTTTATAAAGTTGTAAAAAAAGTAGACAAATCCTAGCTCCACTTTAAGGTTGAAATGAGAATTTGTGTGTGTTTCCTCTGTTGTATTTCTTATGTCATTCAAGCCTTAGATCGTGACATCTTGAAAAATGAGAGATAAACGTGCAATGCATATTTGCAATGGTAACTATAGCACTGCAGTGGTTCCCGCCTCAGTCTGCAAGATATAACAATGGCCCTGTTTTGTATCTTGATCCAAAGTGGATCAGAATTGTAAAATGCCTAAATCCTGAACTCTTGGTGTGTCTTCCGGATTAGGTTTGTAATCACTGCTCTATTGGTTCTCTAACCAGTACACCTGCACTACCAGACATTTGCTGATTTGAGTGTGACTGACAGACAGTCACTGACCTCTTCATTTCTCTCCCTTTTCCCTTAAAGGAACACAATAGTGTCTGGAATACAAACATGTATTCTTGACACTAGCCTTATGATCAGTATTTAGACCCTGACCCCATATTTCCTTCCATTTTTAAAAGGTGAGATTACAGACTTTATTTCCAGAGCTCTGCAGGACTCCTGGCGGTTTGCTCCGCTCGGCCTTCTTTTCTGAATTTGATGATTTTAGCCAACCCAAGGCTAGGAAAACATTGGGAGGCTTTGCGCATATGTGACAAAATGCAGCACAACATCAATCCGTATCTCCTTATAGAGATGCATTGAATCAATGCTTCTCAATGGGGAACTTTCAGTGTCTCCATGTACTGTGTGGAGACACTGAATGTCAGTGCTGCACACTGTGCACTACTGGCAGAGGACGCACCTTTAGTGACCATCTATATTGGCCCTGCAATTGAAATTCCTGTGTCATTCCCAGGAATTCTTTCTGTAGTGAATAACCCCTGATTTTTATCTAATAATGATTATAATATTTTAGTCCTTTTGGATCCTATTGCTATACAAGTTGCTTATTTTGTGCATGAACTTATTATTTTTTGTTTTTTAATCCGTTTGTGTTGGTTACCTTGAAGTCATTTCTTTTTTTTTTTTAATATATATTTCTGTCTCCATCTAAGTTCATTGTGTATAGGTATGAGACTGGCTTACTATTTACAACAGATCTTGCTACTGTATGGCCAACAGTTGCCCACCACCTGGCATTGAGCCTGGCTTCACTGGTACAGCATTTCACTTGTAAACTATTTCACTCCAAATAATCTAAATTAGTTTTAATTTTTCTTTTGATGTTTCAATTAATCTGTAATTATTACGAGTTTCAAGGTATTCTTGTTGTGAAAAATTCATATAAAAAATGGATTATATTAAATTGATGGACTTTTCAGTAAGCAGAGAGGTGTTGCAAACTCATCTAAAAAATTATTTTAGTAAAATAAAGCTACTTGAGAAAAAAAATCTTCACCCCTGTTTTTGTCACATTAATAATGCAGCCCTTTTTAGGAATAGTTGTAGGAGAGGGTGTTTCAAGCAAGGTTGCCAGATTAGGATCTGAATTGCTAGTCTGATGCTTGTTGCCTTAAGGCAATTACTGTCTCTGTCCCACTATCTCTATGCAGTTTGACTTGTTTTGTAGCCAAGAGGCAAAATCCCACATTCTCTTGCAACAGGAACATTTTGGACTTTGTATCCAGACCTGAACCTGCTACTGCGTCCGACCCTTGTTTATACCACCAGGGACCTTCAAGAGTTACCAGTGCAACCTGGTATCTTATGGCTACTCACTTGGTAGCTGGAGCTTCTACAGTGATATTGCCCCAACCATCAACGAGATACTAGATGAAATGATGACTAGCTCTTCCCACCTTGTAGCCATACACTAGACTAGAATAAGTAGAGGGACAAGATAATACTGGTTTATTGAACATCAGACCGTGTGTATTTATACAGTACAAGGTGTGACAAACATGTAGAACAGTGTGATGACTTTGTTGGACACTGCAGTGACACAGTTGGTACTTATCCAAACCTGAGGCCAGTATGTCAGGGCTAAGCTGGGAAAATGGCTAAGAATAAGGGAGCAAGTCTCTGTGTATACTAAGGGTAAACCAAAGAAAGACAGCGCTCACTTAATCTAAGGATATTGTTGGGTAATCTTTGCCCTCAACTGCCTAAGCTGTAAAAAACATGTATTTCGGTCACTAGTTGTCAGTAACTTGCTCTGGAACGTTACTCAATGCTACTCATGTCATTACTGGGCGAGTTTGGTACTTCTAGGCAGGGTAGTGTTATCTGCAGAATCTCTGGAAAGTTTACTTCTATGTAACAAAAGGCTCTGCGGGACTTGCGGTTGGCCACAATGACCAAGGTTATTCAGTCCAGGGCTTGACAAATTTGCTTCAAATCTAGGAGCTAGCAAAAGAAAATTCAGAGCCAGGTTTTTCAATGTCAAAAATACAATTCTTAAAGGGACACTATAGTCACCAGAACCACTACAGCTTAACCCCTTAAGGACCAAACTTCTGGAATAAAAGGGAATCATGACATGCCACACATGTGATGTGTCCTTAAGAGGTTAAAGGATCACAATAGGGTTAAAACCACCATCTAGCCCTCCTGTCCCCCTCATGCCTCCCTAAATATAGTAAAATCTTACTTGAATTCAAGTCTGCAGCTGCATACTTTGTCCCTGTTTCCTTTAGACCTGCCTGCTGACATCAGAAGTGGTAGCCTGATCCAATCACAATGCTTCCCTATAGGATTGGCTGAGACTGACAAAGAGGCAGATCAGGGGCAGAGCCAGCAAAATTCAAACACAGCCCTAGCCAACCAGCATCTCCTCATAGATATGAATTGAGTCAATTAATCTCCATGAGGAAAGTGAATGTTTAGATGCAATTTAGGCAGCCCTGACCCAGGACGCACCTCTAGTAGCCAACTGAGGAGAGGCCAGTGAAGTTATTACTAGGCTGTAATGTAAACACTGCCTTTTCTCTGAAAAGACAGTGTTTACAGCAAAAGCCTGAAGGTAACGATTCTACTCACCAGAACAAATTCAATAAGCTGTAGTTGTTCTGGTGAATATAGTGTCCCTTTAATGTAGTTGTTCTCGTGTCTATAACTTGTCCCTCCACACTTTTCAATGTAAACCCTGCCCTTTCAGAGAAAAAGGCAGTATTTACATTGTTGCCTAGTAACGCTTCTAGTGAAAGTCACTCAGATGGCCTTTAGAGTGCATCCTGGGTCAGTGCAGCATAGTGCGCATCACCTACGTTTAGCGTCTCCATGCTCTGCATGGAGGCGCTGAATGTTCCCCAAAGAGATGCATTCATTCAATTCACCTCTGAGGAGATGCTGATTGACGCAGCATGGCCTTTTGCCACACATGCGCAATAGCCTCCCATCAAGATTGATCGCAATCATTGAGGCAGGGCCAGCTGCAGCGAGACCCTGCTTTCCTGCTTTCATGACTGATGATCTCAGCCAATCCAATGCTTTCCCATAGGAAGGTTTTGGGAGGATACTGTGCATGCATGCAAAATGCCATGCTGCGCCAATTAGTCTAATACCATCTGATAGAAATTGCCAAGATTTACTTTATTATTCTGGATGAGGCACCTCGTGAGGCTGTAAGTATGTCAGCCGCCAAAGGCATTTAAACCCTGCAATGCAAAGATTGCCTTTTTTTGCAGAACAGTCATGCTTTACATTGCAGGGTTACACAGACAGGGACATGGCACCCAGACCCCTTTATTGAGATGAAGTGCTCTTGGGTGCCAATATAGTGCCCCATTAAACCTAAGGTTGAATAAGGCAGTTCTTTGTTCCTTAGAATGAAATCTAGTCCTACAAACACTGGACCCAAGTCTTTGCACTCTCCCCCAGGAAGTGATTAAAGATATTGAAGATTTAATTATATACTTTCTGCTGGTACTATTACGAGGCTGCATAAGTGCATCAAGATCATTAATAAAACTAAGCCTTCTTTTTATTTACATCTGATTGTATGTTTTTACACCACACGATTCCTTTGTTGTATAGCAAACAATGTTAGAGCAATCATTTCCATCTTCTTATACATATTCATGTTGAATTAAATAGAATGTCATAAGATCTAGGGATTTGGTGCTTTGGTGCAGTAGACATGTGTGCAGTTTCATCTTAGCTTATGTCTTTTATCTATTTATAAAGAAGATATCAGTAATTTACTGGAAATTCCACCCCTCCCACTCAAAAACTAAAATAAAACCTCTGTGGACTTCCTGGATTAGTTTATTATTGATTCTCCAGCCAGCCTGTGTGTTTTAAACCAGGTTAACTCAATTTCTTGGCATTGGGTACAGTAGGTAACTAGGGAAAGAAGAGAACCGTAAAATGTATGTATTTTGGACTGATGTAAATGGGTGATTTTGCAGACAACACCTATTACTACATCCACAATCTATCAGGCTTCAGATTTTATCTGCATCTGATCCATTGTATCACTGTCTGTGTGTAATTTTCCAAGACTGGTCATCATACTAGCCCTCACTACTTTCGACCTTCTTCTATAACCTGCTTCATTAATGGGGAAAAAATAAGTTTGAAGCTATTCAGTAACATAACTTTTGTAAGTTTTTGCAGCGATACAGTTCATACCTGAAATTGCTACCCAATAAAAACAATGACGAGAGAGTAAAGATTTTGCCAGTGGTTTGCTGATCCGGCAAGAGCTCCCTGCAGGAAGCCACATTCTAGGGATTTGCTGCCAATGCTGAAATTTTGAATGTGATGGTTTTCTGTTTATTTTTGCAGATCTTTTAAAACCTTCTCTTGAATATAAAAACTAGGGTGAGCCGTTAGGAAATTAAATGTGTTCTGATGTTTGTGAGCCTGATACTGATAACCAATATTTGCGTTAAACAGAATGTTCACTTCTAAACTCCATTGCCAACATTAAGACGTAATACAGTAGTATTAGTACAACGTGCTAAACTTAAACAAATCACCATGGGAACCAGTAGATTGTTTGTGCGGGTTTATCTAAATGAAGCACTTTGCCCTAGAAATGCTCTTATAAACCAGTGACGTGAAAGCTCTGTACTACAAAATACATAACCCAGATTTATATGCCATGAGGATTACAGTCCAGATTTGCTGACTTTTTTCCCTCTCTCGTATACAATTCCTGTTTGTAATAATGCCCTCTATCTCAGTTACACGCACACATGTACATTTTTTTTTTTTCCCCCTGCTCTGACGTTACTGTGGTAAGAATGCTGAATTTCTGTATACCTCTGGTTAATGACGTTCATTCCTAATCTTTTACGTGCACTTTGATAAAGAGAGGTTTTGTGTCCTGCTTTACAATCTGACATTCAGCCAGTATTTAATGACGCTTTAAAGGACATTAAACTATGGTTATGTCTTAAACGGATACTAAAAGTGCCAGGAATACAGAGTTGTATCCCTGGCACTATAGCTCCCTCTGCCTTCCCACTCCCTTGCGCTCCCCACCCCTCGGGTAAATAAAGTGTTAAAAACCCTTTATTTACTTACTTTTTCACAGATGTCACTGGAGGCAGACTTAGAGCTGCGATGTAAACATGGGACATTGCACCCAGACCACTTCAGTTAGCTTCGACCTGGCTAGGTTTTTCCGAGGCAACCGTCACTAGTGATTGCTCTGCATTTTTTTGCACAAAGTTTATAGTATAAATCTGATGGTTTTTGCAGTATCTTCCTTAGATCAAACAGTGATGCAGAATGGTGGTGTATGAAGATCCTGATTAGTAAGAGCTTTGGGGACGTACAGCTATTTTCATTTTTAGTTCAGACTCCCAGCTGCTGCTGTACAAGTCAGAATTTGACCATATTTTTAGCAAAAAGATCTCACACATAATAGCACCGCTTAATGGCTGGCAAAGCATCATGATAGTTTTAGTTCTACAACATTTTGCATGATGTTTCTGTGGAATTTGAGGTAACTCTGATTTGAAATGTTTAATTTTCAAAACCGTGATATTTACTAGGGAGACACAATGTGTGGATTATCTCTGACTTGCATATTCGGATTAGGATACTTGCATAAGAAAAATCTTTTATCAAGCTTTCAGTTTCTAGAACCTGGCATATGTTGAGTTTACTACACAAACAAGTTGCACATTCACATTCAGTGTGCACATTCATAATTAAAGAACATTTGATTAATTAATAAGAGGTTTTTTTTTTTTTTTTAAACACACAGCACTTTTTTGTACTACACAAACAGTCCTTCCTGGATTTTTGTGTATAAAAGCAAAATTGTTGCTTGAGAATGTAAGAATTGTCATTGTTCCCCAGAGTCAGTTGTAATTTCCATTTCAATATGTGAACTGTCATAGGTAAGAGAGAAAGGAGTGTTGGGAAGAGGGCTGGTAGTTGATGAAACTTTTGATGGTAATTAAAGGGACACTGCAGGCACCCAGACCACTTCAGCTTATTGAAGTGGTCTGGGTGCAATGTCCCATGTCCCTTAACCTTACAGTGGTAATTATTGCAGTTTCTGAGAATAATTACCTCTAAGGGTTAACTCATCTTCTAGTAGACAGCCAATAGAGGGACTTACGGAATTGATACAGACCTCCGGTCCGTTATCTGACACTGGAGGTCCTCACTCTCTGCAAATTTTTGTTGTTGATGCAGTGTGCTTTAAAAGGACACTAAGCATCTAAGTAACTTTAGCTTAATGAAGCAGTTTTGTTGTATTGATCATGCACATGCAGTCTCATTGCTAAATTCTCTGCCATTAGAGAGTTAAATCACTTTATTTATGCAGCCCTGGAAACACCTTTCCTGGCTGTAGCTCACACAGCCTACATGAAAAATGGATCTAACTACACATTGTGTTTTATTTTAGAAATTTTAATCTCCTGCTCTGTTAATTGAACTTGAAAGGCACACTATAGTCACCAAAACCCCTCCACTGGCTGTGACTGGCACAGCCGGCATTAAAGGGACTCTCCAGTGCGAGGAAAAAACCGTTTTCCTGGCACTGCAGGTCCCCTCTCCATCCCGCCCCCATCCCATGTTGCTGAAGGGGTTAAAACCCCTTCAATGACTTACCTGTATCCAGCGCCGATGTCTCTCGATGCTGGTTCTGGGTCCGTCCACGCTCCTCACCCGCCGACGTCATCTGGCGGGGGAGACCTATTGCACATGCACGGCAATGCCGTGCACGCACGTTAGACCTCCCCATAAGAAAGCATTGAAAAATGCTTTCAGTGCTTTCCTATGGGGGTTACAGCGACGCTATAGCACAAGAAATGTGTGCTATCAACCTGGAAGTGCCCTCTAGTGGAGGAGTTAACCATGCAAGGTAAATATTGCAGTTTATGAAAACTGCAATAGTTACAGTTGCAGGGTTAAGGGTAGTGGGAGTTGGCACCCAGACCACTCCAATGGGCAGGAGTGGTCTGGGTGCTTGGAGTGTCCCTTTAAACAAATGGTTTAATTTTCAATCAGATGTTAACTTGCTCTAGAAGTTTTTATACAATGCTCTGTAAATGAACTTTAATCACACACAAGAGGCTTGTGCAATGTCTAGCAAGTCTATTAACAGAGCAGGAGATAAGAAATTCCAAATTAGACAGACTGTACAATAAAGAAAGTTTAGATTAGGTATCTCATTACAGGAAGTGTTCAGGATGGCTGTGTAAGTCACATGGAGGGAGGTGTGACTAGGGCTATATAAACACAAAAAAAGTGATTTTTAACTCCTAAATGGCATAATTGAGCACAGAGACTGTTTTTTGTTTTGTTTTTTCTTGTAGTGTCCCTTTTAAGGCATTTTTGTTTTTTCTTTCAGTACTTTTAGATTTTTTTCTTAGGAATAAGTTCTGTCAATGCTCATTTACACAGCAATAAAATACAGGGATGTATTCACTAAAACAGGCATTGTAGATTATGAACAAGTGCATTGCAAAGTTAAGGTCAAAATATATGCATTGGAAAAAGTCTTATTCAGTTATCATTCTGGTTCAGTTATTGCGATTTAAAATGTGCAGTACTCTTGTTATTTCTCCAAACATCCCATGGCATTTGTTAAAGACACGTATCCTAGTATATATGCTTTAGAAATCTGTGTCATCTGGTTTTATTCTTTGATTTTTTTATTTATTGATTTTTTTTTTATTGATTTTTTTTTTTTTTAAATCCGAGTTTAGATGATGGCTTCAGGATCATAGGTTATCAATCAAAATATGTACTTTGAAAGGACTGGACTTCAACTTTTAATATTTGATTTGTGATTTTTTTTTTTTTTTTCTTCTCCTTTTTCTTTCAACCTTGCTTACCTGGAAAATCTTTAAACATGTTCACTCCACCCTCCACTCCCCTCACCTTCCCCTGTAATTTCCCCCCACATGCTTTGTGTGTATCTGTGCTATATATAGTATCACCCTAATGACCTGTATTGGTGAAGCAACGAGAAACTGTAAGCTGTGTCGCCCAGTAACCATACAGATGAGCGGTCTTCCTGCTTCCTTAAGACTAGCAGAGTGTGCATAGCTATTTTCCTATGGTGGTTTCCTGTTTTACAGCTGCCCAGCCGATAATGTGTTTCAGACATAAAGCTCATTGTTTTGGGGTATTTTCACATTGACCCTTTAGTTTTATTTTCCTTTTGTGTGACTACTGGTATTGTACGGTTTGTGGCTTATAATAGCTATGTTGTGCTAAGAATTGGTTAATGTAGATTAATGCAATATGTATTGTGTGTGGTTGTGCAAGAAATGTTTCTATTCGTTATATATATTACCTAACATCATGAGGAATGCAAAAAAAATTGAACACAGGAATAGTCACAAAACCATCTCAAACAGCATTTTAACAGCTTAAGTACAGAGGCAATCGTACAAGTTCTGAGCACAACAAAACTTAAAATTTGAGCTGTTCAAAAAAAAAATACTGTGTGTGTGTGTGTGTGTGTGTGTGTGTGTGTATATATATATATATATATATATATATATATATATATATATATATATATATATATATATATATATATATATATATGTGTATGTATGTATGTATTGCTTCAGACCTGTAGAAGAAATGAAAACTCTTGAAAGCTTGTCTTTGAAATATGTTAGTCATATAAAAAAGGTATCATTGCATACTGCAATGTTCTGGTATTTTGGCATTTTATATATACATATATTTTTAATATTAATGCATTGGGGCAAAACAAGCCAGTTATTTTTATGCAAAACTGAGTTGGTTCGACTACTTGGGGTTCCCGAACAGACTAAAGACATATTGTTCTCAGTCGAACCAACTACCAAAAAGTGAGACCACCCAGGGAAGTCGGGTGCCTCCAATTGACTATATACATACTGAGAAATTGCAAGATTCTAAATGGTTGGATGGGTGGCCGTCGTTTGTATGATGGGAAAACGTGGCAGCGGCCATCTTTCCTCACAGACAGGCAGCAGTGTTTGGTCGTTGAGTGCATGGAACTATAATCGGACACTCGACGGCACGAACACCGCTGAAGTTCCATCCTCTCGTATGTTCGTTCCCCTTCACCTATACAGAGCGGCATTCAAATGAACAGAACGAACACAAGGCACATGATCACCTATTACACGAACAGTTGCATTCATTCGTTTAATGGTAAAAACTCTCGAAAGAAGACCAAAGCATACAACCACCCGGAACTGTTTTGACACTTCACCTCGTGGTTGACCGGTCTAAACTTAACTCGAATGGCTTTCCTATTCTACCGAACGGATCTGAGCGGGATTTCGACAGAGTGGCTGCTCAGATCCCTGCTATTCGGTGGAGTTCTGACTATTATGAGTTATGATGGTTTGAAATATTGATTATTTTTCTGTACTTGGGAGATAATTTAACGAATTGTCCTTAATCCATTATCTTCCAAGTACAGAGAAGGAGTCTGGGAAATGGGGCTTTGTTCCCTGTCCTCAACAAGGTTAACTGGGGGAAAACCCCTGGAATGTAATTTAAAGAAACCCCTTGCATGGGGAATTGTATAAAAGCCAGCTGTGGCTCAATAAAATCCAGTTGACTCCCAAACTGTGTATTGTCCGGTTATTGGGGAATTTGGATAAGATTGCTGAGCTATACGCTTCTCTTGGATATTATACAGGTCTACCAGCGGAGATATTGATGTGAATATTGCAATTCCGCTACATATTGTCACATCCTGTCCTGTTCTGCGGAGATGTCTGGCCTTGGCTTCTGGTATCCAGTATTATTTTTACAATTCTTGTTTAGTTTTTCTTTTTTTTGTTGTTTTTTTGTTTTGTTTTGTTTTCTAGTCCATGTCTGGTTTTCTTTATGCTGGGTTTTCTGGGTTCATTCCTGTATTCCGTTCCTGGAATTCCCAGTCTCTTGGATTCCTTTAAATGTTTGTTTTATGTTGCCATACCCGTTCCTTTTCCATTTATCCTTTTTTGTTTCAGTTGGTTCCTGCAGGCAGTTGCTACAAGTCCTCTGCCCTTTTCTTGCAGGTAAGTGCTGTGTTTATGTTTTATTATTGTTTATTTAGTCATGCGTAGATAGGTCCCACCTTAATTGGAGGACTTGGTACGCAGTTGGTGGGCTGCATACACTTTGGCCATTTATGTATGTCTAAATCTCCAATATTTATTACATATATAGTACTTAGTTTTGCCTCCTCTTGTTTTGCCTTGCATCTCTGGTCTTGTTTTTATTTTGTCTTGTATTCCTAGTTCATGTACAGTCCTGTCCTGCCCTGTTCATGTTTCCCTCCTGTCTTGTGTACATGTAATGGGTTCGTCTTGTCTTGTTTACTTGTTTGGTGTCTGTCCTAGTCTTGCCTTGTTTCTGTACTGGATACATGTCTGCTGCAGAGCCCCCGTATCTAATTCCTGGGAGGTCTGCATATCAAGCTCCTAGCTCTTGCGATCTGCAGAAGCTGCATCAGGGCCTTGGTATGTGGCCGCACAAACGCTGGTGCTCAACACCAGGGGGCGTGTGGTTACCCTGCACCAGGCCCTGATAGTCCATTACCATGCTGAGACTCCCTTCATCATCAGGCTCTCTGGGGTCCCAGTCTCCGTACCGCCACCCTTGACATATATGTATTAATATCAAACTATACAAATAAATTAATTATACATAAAATTAATTCTCAGTGGATATTTATACACTATTTTTCCATTATGTGTTTTTATTCATTATATAGTAAAACAGAACAGGTAAAAGGAAAGTAGTGCAACAAACGTGAAGGCAAGCCTCTATATAGGTATCACTTCCCAAATCACCCAATAGAAAAGTGTTCAAGTATAATCAAACAGAATATACAAAAATAAGGCGCCTCAATCACCATGGTGTGATAGTAATTACCACTCAGATGATGAATCCATCCTTTTATCCATCCTTTTATCCATGTATAAAAGGAAAAGAATATAATCATAGTATAGTAATTTATTAACAACAAATAGTCTAATAAAATAGTTAAAATCACACTCACAAAAGACATGGGACAATTATAAATACTCCTAAATTGTGCAAAAGAGTTTTTTTCAAGCCACTAAATGGGCTAAGTTCCCTGGTGCAGCCTATGGTACCTCTTGACACCAACAGTCTCACTTTCTTGGATGTCCAATTAGTACTGAAGGATCCATAAACGTTCTTCTAACGGAGAGAAAGGCTGTATAAATCTTTTTGGGGAACAGCTCTTACTATTGCCGCTCGACTCGTTTCGTCCTCATCGACTTTTTCAAGAGCCTGGTGATCTTTCGTGTTCCCGTGGTTTATATTCACAATTTCGCGTGTTTTTCCGGTATGTGCGAGCGACGGATGTAACACATTACATGTAATTGTGCTCTGCCATCTCCCTGCGCATGCACGCGCAACCAACCTGGAACGCAAAGAAACTTTATTGATAATGTTCGCGAACTGCTATAAAGTACAAGCCGAATAAAGTATATGTTCGGAACTTTTTGCATTTGCTATTTCGAACACATAGAAGAGCACTTACAATTTGAATACTATAATGAGAAATTGTAATAAATAAATGGTCTACTCAAAAATAATCTACTTAAAAACATACTACAACACAGGACCTGTAATGGCTGTTATAAAAATATCAGAAATGCATGCTCAGGAATCAAAAATATTCGGTAAAATATAAGTACAGATATAAAATCTAAAACCACTTTAAAGAGAAAACATATATTAAAAAAAGCAAATATATATTAACAAATTATGCAGTGTATATATTGGCATACACATAGAACATTTATTGCAAGGTATTAAAAAAATAACTAAATATATATAGAAACAACATTGTCTCCCAATAAAAAACATTATGAAAGGCCATTAATCCATAAAAAACAGTCTGATATTTTTACATCTATTACAGGTTCTGTGTACAAAATCATACAAAAATACCGCCACTCCAAAGTTTTCATTCAGGTGTGTTCTTTGTTTGACAAATTCCAGCAAGTCAACGTTTCGGTCCCTCTTGGGAACTTTCATCAGGACATCAACCTTTGCTGTTTAGTGAGTGGGAGTGCGTTGGATCTTGTATGTTGTATGAATTGGCCATAAGAGGGCTCTGTGTTTGTGTATATCTATGTGTGCGCGTGTGATGGAAATTGCTGTTGAACACAAACATGTGTTGAGTGCAAGACAAGCTTCTAAAACTGTATCATTAAAGGGTTAAATAGTCTCTTTTGTTTCTATAAGCTCAGATTGCATTTACAAAACTGAAGCACATAGATTTAGGTATATGCAATTCTGAACTAAAATCTGAATCATTTATCAACAAGCAGCCTGGCAACTTTGATCTGGCCTTGTTAGTAATGGGAACAAACATATTGTAAAACCCACAATACAGAGTAAGGCCATTGCTTTCTGGTTGTCCTTGTCCTTCACTGAATTTGGCATTTAATGTGTTTTATATGCCAGATAAAAGTTTTGTTCCCTGACCTACTGAGTGCAGTGTCCTTACTGAATGATACGGAACAGCACAAGAAAATTTAGTAAAAGACCACTCGGTCACACAACAACATATGCTCATTGCGTTGCTTATTGTTAATTCCAATATTGAATTAAAATATAAATTGTGGATTCCAATATTCTTGAATGGGTAAGGCAGTGGCTTAATGACAGGCAACAGAGGGCTGTATTCAACAGAGTAAATTCAAAGCAAGGTCTAGTTACCAGTGGGGTACCTCAGGGATCTGTACTTGGACCCATTCTCTCTAATATTTTTCATTAGTGATATTGCAGAAGGTCTTGATAGTAAGGTATGTCTTTTTGCTGATGATACTAAGTTATGTAACAGGGTTGATCCAGGATGGATAAGCAAAATGGCAAATGATTTAGATACATTTTAAAAAATGGTCAGAGCTGTGGCAACTGACATTAAATGTGGATAAGTGCAAGATAATGCATATTGGGCATAAAAACCCAAGGGAAGAGTATAGAATATGTAATACCCTACTAACCTCAACATCAGAGGAAAGGGATTTAGGGGTAATTATTTCTGATGACTTAAAGGTAGGCAGACAATGTAATAGAGCAGCAGGAAATGCTAGCAGAATGCTTGGTTGTATAGGGAGAGGTATTAGCAGTAGAAAGAGGGAAGTGTTCATGCCATTGTACAGAATACAGGTGAGACCTCACTTTGAGTATTGTACACAGTACTGGAGACCGTATCTTCACAAGGATATTGATACATTAGAGAGAGAGTTCAGAGAAGGGCTATTAAACTGGTTCATGGATTACAGGATAAAACTTACAAGGAAAGGTTAAAGGATCTTAACATGTATAGCTTGGAGGAAAGACGAGACAGGGGGGATATGATAGAAACATTTAAATACATAAAGGGAATCAACACCGTAAAGGAGGAGACTTTATTTAAAACAAGGAAAACTACCACAACAAGAGGACATAGTCTTTAATTAGAGAGGCAAAGGTTTAAAAATATCAGGAAGTATTACTTTACAGAGAGAGTAGTGGATGCATTGAATAGCCTTCCAGCTGAAGTGGTAGAGGTTAACACAGTGAAGGAGTTTAAAGGACCACTATAGTGCCAAGAAAACAAACTCGTGTCCTTACTGACTCGTGTCCCCCCCGCCGACGTCAGATCTGGATGCGCGAATGCTTGGCAAGAGCCTTGTGCATTCATACTGCCCATAGGAAAGCATTACTCAATGCTTTCCTATGGACGGCCAGCATCTTCTCACTGTGGTTTTCAAAGTGAGAATCGCTGAAGCGCCTCTAGCGGCTGTCAGTGAGACAGCCACTAGAGGCTGGATTAACCCTCAGTGAAACATAGCAGTTTCTGTAAAACTGCTATGTTTTCAGCTGCAGGATTAAAACTAGAGGGACCTGGTTCCCAGACCATTTAATTGAGCTGAAGTGGTCTAAGTGCCTATAGTGGTCCTTTAAGCATGCGTGGGATAGGCATAAGGCTATCCTAGCTATAAGATAAGACCAGGACTAATGAACGGATTTAGAAAATTGGGCAGACTAGATGGGCCGAATGGGTCTTAACTGCTGTCACATTCTATGTTTAATAGTTTTTCCTTGTTCCATTTTTGCTGCACAGTGTGGCTTATAAATGCAGTTAATAGAAAATGCTGCTAAAAGATATGATTGACCCAGGGAGGTAGGAATGTTTAGGTTCTCCTTTTCTGTCCAATCGGTGTTTTCAGTGTGAACCATACAGGGTAGAACATAGCACAAGTCCCTGTTTCATGCTCTGACCCACTCACTCTCAAAATGTCCACACATCCTTTCACCAGTAGGAGTTGGTGACAAAGGGGGTTAAGTGACACGAGCCGCAGTGGACATTGGAGAAGTGCTTTAAAACAACACTACTGGGCCCTGCACTCACACTCTCTCCCTCTCCCAGGAATCCTCCAGGAATACATTTACTTTTGCATTATCAGATTGGTGATTGAACACAGAACTTGTAAGGCCCTCAGACTTATAGACCATATTCTTTATCTATGATTATATCATTTTATGGCATGTTATGGCCGTTATATTTGCAGGATTGGGTGGCATTAAAATGCCTTAACCATTTAGGCGCTGAGCAAATAAAGACTTGCCTCTCTTTACTTTTGTTAAATTGTCTGTGTAGAGAACCATTCACCGCGCGCATGCATGTTGCTGTTGCGTCTCAATGACAAGTTGAATTAAGTGCATTTCATAGAGCAGCGTTAGACGTATACAGCGACAACGAGTTTTAATAATTGATTCAATCTCAATCCAAAGCCAATAGTTGCAAGTTTGACAGCCACTATTGGTTGTGGAAACTGTATGTTAACTGGAAATGTCACCATTTTAAAGGAACACTATAGTCACCTAAATTACTTTAGCTAAATAAAGCAGTTTTAGTGTATACATCATTCCCCTGCAGTCTCACTGCTCAATTCACTGTCATTTAGGAGTTAAATCACTTTGTTTCTGTTTATGCAGCCCTAGCCACACCTCCCCTGGCTATGATTGACGGAGCCTGCATGAAAAAAAAAATGGTTTCACTTTCAGATGTAATTTACCTTAAATAAGTGTATCTCAATCTCTAAATTGAACTTTAATCACATACAGGAGGCTATTGCAGGGTCTAGCAAGCTATTAACATAGCAGGGGATAAGAAAATATTAATTAAACAGAACTTGCAATAAAGAAAGCCTAAATAGGGCTCTCTTTACAGGAAGTGTTTATGGAAGGCTGTGCAAGTCACATGCAGGGAGGTGTGACTAGGGTTCATAAACAAAGGGATGGCAGATGATTGAGCAATGAGGCTGCAGGGGCATGTTCTATATACCAAAACTGCTTCATTAAGCTAAAGTTGTTCAGGTGACTATAGTGTCCCTTTAATGTTAAATGTTGCAGGGGCAGCAACATACTCGCCATGCTCACTTTATTAAAAAGTTAAACTTGAACAAAAGGCAAGAGAAAGTGTGCCAGTTTTGAGGTAACAGCCAATGAATGTTTAGAAAAAAATTGGCATTTAGAAAGCTTCAATGGACATTTTTGGCATAACATCTATGGTTGTTGCCTTGATTTTGATGGAAGTAGTTTTTGCAAGTTGCCCCTCTGTTTGTCAAACAGCATTTGTGCATTTTATTTCCCCCTCAGAAACCATAAAGTGCCACTGGTGCCTTAGACAGTCAGAAGTACCTCCTTTAGTATGAGTTAAATACTACTTCCCTAAATCACGTCGCTGTGGTACATGCAGATTCAGTTTCGATGACTAATTCTGTAGTGTGTTTCCCTGAGGTTGCAAGTATAGTATTACTGCTTGCAACGAAACAAGTTGGGAATGTAAATAATGAAATGAGATTTCCTCCACTAACACTGTATGTATGCATCCCCTCCAGTATTCACGGATGGTTATTTAGTAAAGCATGGGCATTTTTTACTCTCTTTCATTTGATGTGTCTTGTTTGCTATGAATTTTAATAGGTTTGCAATAGTTTGTGTATTCTAAGATGAACATTTTGAAAAATAACTTCTACCTGTAAGTTTCAGGGCCTTAGCTCTATTTCATCTTGGTTTATCTCTATACACATTTAAAGGACCACTCAACTTTTTGTTGTTGTTGCAAAATCAAAAGGACTTCATCAAGTTATGGTACTTTATGGGTGTGGAGTGGTCCTTTTACGTTATTGTAAACAGAATTGTATGACCTTCAAATAGAACGAACAATTGTATAAGCATTCAATGTTTTAGCATGTGCGTAAATTACATAGTATCCTTTCTTGTGCCTTCTTGTTAGTATCTGTTCGCTATTGTCCTATATCCTAGAGATATAATGTACGTCTAATCCTATCCACAAATCTTTTGTATTGCATTGTGGGATTGCAAAATGCAACCTTGCCTAGCCACTACGAATTTTCAAGTGCTAGCACTCTGTGTAAATCACTGATTGCTTTCTTTTGGCAATCATTACATCCCAGATGCTTGCGTTGTAGTTAAAGGGACACACCAAGCACTATAACAACTTGTGCTTATTGCAAGAACAAACCATGCCCTTATTGCTTATAGCAGCAACGATTTGCAAAAGTTGATGCAGCATGGCCTTTCAATGACAAATGTAGATGAAAAGAATAGAAAAAGAAGAAAAATTTGCTTCTGCAAGTTATACCCTCAATAGCCAGATATCACAGCACAGATATCACAGCACTTATGTAGTATTGCTGTCACCCACAAATAAAATACATTACAGGAACAAACATTTCTTTCTGCTAACAATACAAGTACTTGTATGGAACGTCTAAACAAATTTAAAAGGTTCATAAAATTGAGATTTGAAGTGAAAATGCTTGGTTATAATTAATGAGCAATATTAATTACTTGTTTTTCTTTGGTTTTCTGTTAGCCAAGACCTGTCTGGATCTTTTGAGAAGCATGAGTCGGTGGCTACAACCGAAGCCAGATTAAGAATGGAAGGTGTGGAGTTAAAGGAGGAGTGGCAGGATGAGGACTTTCCAAGGCAAGTGTGCATAAACATTTTTGTGTTTGTAACAAGTCAATGTAAAGCAAATATAATACAAAAACCTAGTGGTGAGTGGGGAACAACTTCATTAAATTTTGTAGTTCCTGCTTTTATAACTTTGCTAAATTCCTCCAACAACTGTCCTATATTGGCTAACAAAAGGGTGTGCTGAGTTAGATTAAAATTAAACGTTATTAATATGTAATGTTTACATAATCATATAAATTGCACTTTTTAACCTAAACCTTTGCAGCATGCAGTGGTTCTGGAGCATTTTTGGAGGTAATGAGTCTGCTTAGTGCCAAGGTTGTAACAGTTTGCTTCCAGTGTTTAAATATATTGGGTGCCGTGATTTCTAATTCAGAGGAGAGGGTGGAGTTTTACAGAAATAATGCAGAGCTAGGGCAGGTGTGGTTTATATGGGTAAAAGGAAAGTTTGGAGGTTGGTGGAGAATTGCAATAGCTCAAGACTGTGGATGTTTCTACAAGATTGATATACCAAGGGTGGTATGATTTGGGTACGGGGTATGCAGGTGGTGGTCAAATTGAGGAAATGAAACACTGGCGAGATTAGAGGCAGCACGGAGATTGCTGAAAATGAGATCGAGAGTTTTGATAAGTAAAACATTATATCCCGCTTGGCATTGGGCTCCATGCTGCTGCCCCAGCTCCTTGGCTAAGATTGCCAATCCAATGCTTCCCCATAGGCAAACATTTGGAGGCTAGTGCAAATGCATAGCAAATCTCTGCAATGCACCCTTCAGCATCTCCTCATAGAGCATTAATATGGGGAGCGTCCAGCGTCTCCATGCAGTGTGGACAAGCTGAACATTGGTCCTTCAATCTTTGCAGGACCGAACCAAAGAAGTTCCACTACAGTCTGTCCGAGTGACAGCCACAAGAGGTGCAAATGGGCATTACTGCCTTTTCTCAAAAATGGTGACTTTAGTGTCTCTTTAACATGTTGGCAAATGGTCCAGCCTTTTACAAAGGTTATATTAATGTGTTTTTTTAGTTTTTCTTGTAACTAAACACACTTACTGTATAATTATACCCTTTAGACCTTTGCCAGAAGATGACCATATTGAGGGTGAATACTTAACTGGAGAAGGAAGAACAGGTAAGAAAATGCATTGTTTTAGTTATAACACACATCTGATAACATCTGAATTTAAAATCAAGCTTTCCTTTTTTTTCATTTCACCTATTCCTACAGTACTCATGTGATGTTAGACAGGAGTCATGGGTTGTATTTCGGAGTTCTATTATATTTAAGACTATTAATAGGTGTAATGTCTATGGCTCCTAGTGATTTATTTAATTTTTTTTAATATCATTACTCAAAAAATGTAAATGTTCACTTTTAACACTAAAGACACTGAATTCAAAAAATGTTAAGAGCTCTATAACCTCAACAGTTCCAATACTGCTTTAGCAATATAATTTCTGTGCATTTTTGGATGACATTCAGTTGAACATTAACTGGAGCACTCATCTAACGATGCTGTTCCAACTTGGACAAAATTAATATTGCTAATTTGAACTTCTACATTAGTGGTATTGAAAGAACAGCAAGTGGGCAAAGCTCAGTTTGTGTCGGAGAGATCAAAAATGCTGTAGTAAATGTTAGTTTGAGTGTCCCTTTAATATCTCTATGCACAGTCTTGGTAATGCCATGCTGCCTAATCATGCTATGCACAACTATGTAATTAAATCTGTTTTAATTGATTCTGTTTGCCAGTACTTGGCCTATCTTTTTACTATCACAAATCAGTTTTATTTTTTTTATTACAAAAATACCGAACATTGTAAGGGTTTTAGTTAGTGTTGTATAGAATGAGCACATTGTAGTCTGGCATTGCAACAGCAGTAAAGCACCTTGATATTTATGGCAACATATTTTACTCTTGACCTTGTACTAGATTCCATAAAGCACAGGACATTTTCCCTAATGAACCTGAATGTTTTTTCCTTGAGAGATTGTTGTTTTTATGCATTGTTTAATTACTTTGCAGGAAACGCAGAATCCATGGTAGAATTTCCATGACCGTGCTATAAACCGTTTTTGCATGCCTAAATGACGTTGCAAAGAACGCAGGAGAACCAATAAAATACTGGCCCTGAGTAGGCTGTGCTTTTGGTAGTCCAACTATCCATTTCAACACAACTATCAAAAATACAATATTTATACCACTATGTTTTGGTGGTGACAGTCCATGAAGTTTCTTAAAGAATTGCAAGTAGGTCCTTCCAGTCAGGCAAAGCAGAAAGTAAAACAAAGCTCCTCCCCTTTTTTATTGCTCCTTTGCGTAGAATCCCATTATACAGGTAACAGTAAAGATGAGAAAAATTAAATAGTACAAGTTGGGAAAAACTTTGTGCAGTAAAAGATCTATAGACAAGACAATGGCACCAAACCCCAAAAAAAACTTTTTGGGATTTCCTGGACTGTGTCCACAGAGGAGAAATGAGTGTATCAAGCATACATTTGGCTTTTCTTGTTAAATCAGCAACATTCTACAATCATTTTATTTTTATGTATGACTCTGTTATGATACACTTTAATTACCATTTGAGATTTGCCCTTATTTATTTTGGTAGTGTGGCCATCTAGGGATTACAACACCACAATTTCCAAGCCCTCACGGTCAATTACTGATGGAAAATCTTCCAAACTATTTTAGCAACACACCCGCCCCCGCTATTCCAATGTACATGATAGCTAAACATTTTTGAGTTCTTTGAAGTTGAGTGCCCAAGGGAAGTAAATGCTGTAGAATGACATCTAGATGGTATCTTAACTTTTGGGGGAGCTTTCTCACATTTCAATCTTGATAATCTCACATTTATCCAGAGCACCTAGATGGACATAAAAATACTGGACTGTTTTGTGTTGTAACATATCATTGGGCAGTAAAGTATAACCTTCCTAACAATACCTTAATTGTCTCTTGTTTTGTATTTCTCTGTTTATTGTTGGCCCTGTCTGTCTGCTTTAGCTTGGGCATTTCCGGTGCTGGATCAGTCAGTTTATTGTATCCCTTACTCAGCATCTCATAATTCACGCAAGTATCTACCTCCTGGCTATTTCTGCATGCTGATCTGTCTGCCTGTCTGTGCCTGCTCTTCTAACCAAATGTGGTTATTCCAATTGTGTACGTCTCCCTCAGTCAGCTCGGTGCGATACAAATGACTGCTCTTTATTTGTCAGGATTGACATGGTAATCTTTCAATACAAACTAATAGCAGAAACAGGTAACCAGTGAATATTTTACCGCTTTAAGTTTTCTTTTAAAATTATCTTGTAAAATTAAAGCATAGGTTCTTGCCCTTAGTAGATTTTAATAATTTGCTGTTACATTGTGGAAAGATGTTGTCTCTGGTACAATCATTCTTGCTGTGGGGAAAACTAAATTCTATTCCTTAATTAAAATAAATACAATAATCAATATGAAAATGTTAGTGTGTCCCAGTGTTGGTTGCATGACCAGTTCATTTCATTCTCCTCACACACTGCACTTTTTCTGGTCACATAGTTGATGAATATATATATAAATGTGTATAATACACAATCACAGAAATTAAACCTACACTATTTCTTCTTCAGATGTGTTTCCTTGGCACAAAGAAAATCAAATTTTTTTTTTTTTTTTTGTATACAGTCGCATCATTTGTTTTCTGTGAGCAAAGATGTGGAGGCAAGTCTTGTAGCATACACAGTCAGTTTTAACTTGAATTCTTCCCTGAGCCAGGCTGGTGTAGTACACGTCGGTTTGACCCTGTGCATACTTACCAACATTAGAAGGTGTGAAAATGATACAGATGGGAATGTAGCAACAAAATGGGGCTAGACCATTATACAGTATGTGTCTGCTGTTTATTTCGGGAGATGGGCCAAAAATAGGAGTGTCAGCCCAGCAAACGTACCGGAGTTCATGTGCAATGGTGCCATCCATCCAGGCCTGCACATGCACTGGGGAAGAACTTTTGCATTGGCAGGAATAATAAACAATTATCATATGCACATAAAGCTTTCTACAAATACACAAAAATAAGTCCTGCGTTCAAACTCTGACCACTACTGGGCAGCAGCAATGACCCAATACATACAATAAAACCAAAGAAAACATGGTTACTTGCACACTATTTCAAATCCTTGTGCATATTTATATAAATGGAGGTTTTTAGTTCCACTGCAGTGGCCATTAGATGTAAGCCCACCTGCCACGTAAATCTCTTCGGTGGGTCCTACACTGACAAATCACCTTGCTTGTTTCAGCTCAAGGTAAACAAAATTTTTTTTATTATTATTTTTTTTATTTTTTTTTTTTTAAACACGGCTTACTTATTAACCCTTAGTAGCAGACACATAGGTGTGTCTAATGATTTAGTCTGGTGTACCAAAAGAGGGATTCCGGGGTAAAAGCCTGGATGGTAGAATAGGGGTTGAAAGCAGGCACTGCCCATTGAATCTATGGCTTTGGGTTGTAAGTATGCAAATCAAAATTTCAAGTTAGACATGCGTATGAGTGCGTGACTGTGGGGAAAAAATTAAATATCCGAAGCTCTGCCTGCAAAAATCTGCCTGTAACAGATTTTGGGTACAAATGTTTGTCTTCCATGCTGTATTTAAACTCTTTGCTGGGTTTTATTTTTTTATTTTTTTTTTGTTTTCACAGCCAGACTTTGTGAATGTCTTTGTTTGGTGCAGTGAATCTTGTTGCACACAACCTACAGGTCATTGCCCAAAGGCAAATGAATAACCCCTGGCAAAGTCACGTGGTTACTGATAAAGGCTGTTTTGATGGAAAATGTATTGTGAAGAGTTGTATCAGATTAGGAGATTGTTTATCAGCATACATTTTTACTGTATCACATCTTCCTCGGCTTTATTTACAAAAATATACATTTTAAACCTCTGCTCACTCATACATTGCATGTTGAGAACGACTAAATTATTTGACTTCACAATCATTCATTCCGCAATTTAAAGTTTTGCACGCTTTTAAACTTGCATAGAACTTAGAGAAGTTGACGTTTTTCATATCAAACGTGGCATAAAGTATATTATGGGTGCTGTTTCTTTAGAAAGCAATGACGCACAGATTTAAGGCAGACACACTGAGTTGGTACATAAAAGTACCAGAGAATTTAAGCTATTGTTCACCCCGTGTATGTGTGTGTGTGTGTGTGTGTGTGTGTGTGTATGTGTGTATATATATATATATATATATATATATATATAGACTTTTGCATTACATTAAGTTGCAGCAGTCTTGCTCATGTGTCATGACTAAAACACATTATTAATCTTCTTAAATTGTGTTCCTTTTTTTTTTTTCCCCTCTCTCTCTCTAGTTCCAAGTCCTTTGGACATGAACGGCAGTAAGAAGACTAGAAAGAAGTTAGCCGCCCCCAACCTTAGTTCTACACTGGATTGCAGTGATGGCTCAATTTTATCTGAGGACTTGGATGAAAGTGGAGACTTGGATTTAGATGACGTAGATACTCCTTCTGAGAACAGCAATGAATATGAATGGGAAGGTAATACGTTGACTTTTTACTAAAATAAATCTTAAGCTGGAGAAAGGATTTCAAATGTATTATACATGATATATTTGAAGGCAAATGTTTTAGTCGAAGCCTGTATTGATGGAGCTCTGGATTGTCATTAAATCAATAATGTAACAGTTTTCGCTCCCGACAATGAAATGAATAGTGGTTTTCTTGTAACTAACCTAGATGTCTGTGTAGTCCTTAAATGCAAGTCTGCCTGCACAAGTTCACTTCCCTTTATTAGCTGAAATGCATACTATTGTCATAGAGGAATTGTGATCATAATCCATCTGGTTTATACATTTTAAGTATTGATTTTAATATCACAAACATCAGGATTGCATCACTTGATAACAAAAATGTACACAATAATTGTGCTATCCTGACTGGTAGTATGCTTAAATGAGCATTCAACACATAAGCGTTATGATCGTTGATCTCCCCTTTCCTGAGTGGTTTGACAAACAGACTTTCCTAACACTCAAAGAATGGAACTTCTGCTGCGGCTATGAAAACGTGGAATTTTTATTTCTGCATTATCTGTCCAGTTCAGTTCAACAGTAATAGGCTGCAGGATCTGGTGGTGGCTTTAACACAGAACTGGCTATTACCATCCAAGGTTGGATGGCTTTGGACCGATAATGCAGAAGTGAGACTTCCACATAATTGAGTGGCAGAGAGCCAGGCTTTGGGTACAGCTCCAGCCATGTTTAAAGGGACACTCCAGGCACCCAGACCACTTCTGCCCATTGGAGTGGTCTGGGTGCCAACTCCCACTACCCCTAACCCTGCAAGTGTAATTATTGCAGGTTTTATAAACTGCAATAATTACCTTGCAGGGTTAACTCCTTTGTCTACTAGACAGCCACTAGAGGGCGCTTCCAGGTTCCTAGCACACGAAAAGTATGCTATAGCGTCGCTGGACGTCCTCCCGCTATGTGAGGACCTCCAGCGTCTCTGAAATCCCCGTAGGAAAGCATTGAAAGCATTTTTCAATGCTTTCCTATGGGGAGGTCTAATGCGCATGCACATTAAGTCTCCCCCTCCGGTGGCCGCGCATGCGCAATGGGTCTCCCCCGCCGGATGACGTTGGCGGGGCAGGAGCGTGGTTGGACCCTGAACCAGCGCCGAGGGACATCAACGCTGGATACAAGTAAGTCACTGAATGGGGTTTTAACCCCTTCAGCAACTTGGGTTGGGGGGTGGGAGGGAGAGGGGACCTGCAGTGCCAGGAAAACACTTTGTCCCTTTAATAATCTATTTGGTAACCTGCTTATAAGTGGAGAATGGCACCTGAAGACAATGAGCTGAAAAAACAATTATTATTTATCTGGCCAAGATGCAAAACCTTATTTAAACCGCAACTAGTGCTTCAAAGGTCAAGGCATGTTTTCTAATAGCTTACTATCCGACTGTAGTGTTTATGGTAGTTGGAGTATTCCTTTAATCTGTATGCTATCTTTGTATAGTGTGGATATTAACACTGCTAATGCAGAATTCCGGCAAACAACGGTCAGCCTTAGAGTCCCCCACAGTTTTGGTCAAACCTAGACCCGCTTTAAAGTATGATTATGTGATGCTTGAGAATTGAAAAAGTGCACTGACCACTGGAGAGCCTTCGATGCCCCTGCTTTATGGCATTAGCAAATTGTTAGTATCAAAATTCACATTATAAGAACTAGCTCTATCAGGTTAATTTAGCTATGTATTAAATGTTTTCTGGATCTTTTGGTCATATTGTAAAATAAAATCTCTAAGTGTTTCAGGATAATATGAAAGAAAAAAAAAATAGTGTTACTTACTACATGTATTGATTTTCATAACTCTGTGTTTTTCTTTAAGATGTCCTGTGACTAACCATGTGCTTTTTTATTTTATTTTTTCATGCGCTGTTAATTGCATTCATGGACTGCATGCCTTAACCTCAGGCTGTGCACTAATGAAGCAGTTGAACAGCTAGATGTTAGCCCTTTAATTAAAGAGACGGTAAAGGGTTCCTATCTCCTCTCTTTTTTTATTTTCTATGCTGCTGTCAGAACTGTCTCTGGAGGATAGTTTGCCTTAACAGCTAAGTGTTGGAAACTGACAACAAAAAAAAAAAATCATAGGTCGTTCCCTCCTTGCTCTGTGGTAAGGACCCATGCTACTTGGTTTCTGGAAATCATGAAAACAACCAAATTATCAATGCAATCAGTGAAAATACTGTGTTTCGTCCGTGTATAATATTCCAAGCTTTCTGATTTTACCGCATGCACACATCTTAATTCACATCTGATCTTCCGCTTGCCTGTTGCAGAGTACTGTTTGTACGTCTTGTGCTGCTTTGGCCATTCAATCAATTTAAACAGTTGGTAAGCAATAGTTTTAGGTAACCGCTCTCCATTTGTGTTTGGCCTCTGGGAGCAAACTTGAAACCCCATTAAACATACACAAGAATGCAACTTTTACTAAGACCAACTGCTAGGAGTTGAGTTGATTGTGTAGTGTGTAGTGTGTGTGTGTGTGTGTGTGTGTGTGTGTGTATATGTGTAATTGTTTTATACATTCACACACACACACACATACATGCATACATACATACATACATACATACATATTAGGGTTTGATTGTAGATAGTGGTCACTTATTTAAAGTGGCCCCAGTTTTCAGACATGCTCATCGCATCACATGACCTCTTAGCCTCCGAGCATCATAACTACTGCAATAAATGATGGTAGTGCCGCTTTTTGTTTAGTTTAGTTTTTTTTTTTTAATGAATAGATGCATGGTTTTTTATTTTCCTTTTCTTTTTATGAAGTATGTATGTTAATGTGAATATTACTAAATTTTAAAATGATATATTATTGAACTGTTGTGGTGCACTGTAATACTCATATACACCAGGCAATGCTCTGTCCATAGGACAGAGACATTTGGACCCCCAAAGATGGACAGTTAGGTAGTATGTTGTTCCCAGAGGCCACAATGAAAAGTGGTTGACTAAGGCACATAAATGGAGATGCACTAAGAGGTGAAAAGTTGCAGAGATTATACTTTGTGAGAACCTACAAAGTTGTTTTATGGAACCTAATTTGTCATGTTGAAAAGCAGGCTCCATAGAATGGCATAGATGGTTTTACAAAAGAGTTACCTATATTTCACAACTTAGTAAATCTCCCCCATGGAGTTCTAACCGGGTTAGATTATTGATAAATTTCTAAAGCCTCCTATGTTTTTGCAGATGATCTTCCAAAACCAAAGACTACTGAAGTTCTTCCAAAAGGATCCATACCTGAATACACTGCCGCTGAGGAAAAAGAAGAGAGCCGACGCTGGCGGTTGTTCAGAATTGGAGATCAGGATCACAGGGTTGATATGTCTGCCATAGAACCTTATAAGAAAGTGATAAGTCATGGAGGTAAGGTGACATCTTACTTCCATTCGCCAGATCTAAGGCAGTGGACTAAGTGGTAGTTCTGCATTATTGGATCAGTGTAGTATTTCATTACTTGGGAATAACGTCTATTGCTTTTGCTAACAAAAGAATAAACTGTTCTTAAAGGGACATTATAGTCACCAGAACAACTACAGCCTATTGTATTTATTCTGTTAAGTATAATCAGGTTGTTTGCAGTAAACACTGTCTTTTCAGAGAAAATGCAGTGTACATTACAGCCTAGTGATAACTCCACTGGCCACTCCTCAGTTGGCTTCTAGAAATGCGTCCTGCACAGTGTGCAGCACTGCCATTCAGTGTCTCCACCCTCTGCATGGAGACACTGAACTTTCCTCATAGAGATGTATTGATTCAATTCATCTCTATGGGGGGATGCTGACTGGCCAGGGCTGTGTTTGGCTTTGCCCCTGATCTGCCTCCTTGATAGTCTCAGCCAGTCCTATGTGAAAGCATTGTGATTGGCTCAGAACAACACTTTTGATGATGTCAGGCAGGCAGATCTGGGGCAGAGCCAGCAGCTGCAAACTTCAACAAAAGTAAGATTTTACTATATTTAGGTGGGCAGCGGGGGGCCAGAGGGGATGGTGGATTTACCACTATAGGGTTAGAAATACATGTTTATGTTCCTGACCCTATAAAGTGTTTGTGTTCCCTTAAAGTGAATGTATACATTACAAAATGCATACTTTTATGCTTTTGAACAATGCAATTAAAAATCTGCAGTTTATTACTTTTCAAACTTCACTTCATAACTACATAAAACACTACCTTTTTTCCCTTCAGATTAGAGGCAGTGCTTTCCAACTGGGATTTCATCCCCTGGAGGGGAAAAACAGGCAGGCAATCTCCCAAACTTTTCAAGAACCTCCCCACAATTAACCTTTGGCCTTATAAATTGCTTCCTACCCAAGACATCCCCAGTTCTTTGCCTGCCTCCGGCAGAGGAGGGTGTCAGGTTTTCTCCCTAGAAGTATGGTGAGAGGGCTGAGGCTCTGGAGGCTCTGCTTCTTTTAAATACCTTTTTCAGAGCTCAGCCAGGGATAACACACCAGACGGCAGTATCTCCCCGGGTTGTATTACGTCCGTCTATACCGAGCCAGGTGCCGGGCAGACGATGGTGCGCATTTGGGCACTAGCTGGGAAGTCCTGGCGGTGGAACACTCATACAGGTTACGTTAATTTCCACCGTGGAATCGCGAAATGCAGGACATGCGTAATGCGATTTAAAATTCAGGCGCCAATATCTTTTTATTTTTTTCTTTCTGGGGTCAAGATATTGGTTTCCAGGACTTAGAGAGGCTGTTTACCCAGCAGCAACTAACTGTTGCCAGGTGCACTCAGAATCTGTTGCAAGTGTGTTCTCACCAACCTCCAATACACTCTGAGGACATTTAAGGTAAGCCTTTTTGCTTTATCTTAAATGACTCTAGCCTGAATAAGTTAATAGTCTGTGCTGCAAGATGGATAAGCTAAAAAAGCGCAAATGTTTCTAAGTTGGAGAGTTTTTAGCTTCTCATCACGTAACCCCTTCAGGACGGAGTCAATAGTGCACGTTCTGATCAAAACGTAAACAAAAACTGGAATTTGCGATATATGTCTGTTCAACCGTAATTCACCGCTGTCATATTAAGTGCCCCCACACTTATTATATATCATTTTGTTCAGGAGAAACAGGGCTTTAATTTATCATTAACTATTCATATATGGAACATAATTTATTATGAATAAAATTTAATATTACTGTTAGTTTTTACTGCAAAAAAATGCACATATTTGTAATCCGCGATGTCTCACGAGTACAACAGTACCCACCATTAACAGGTTTTATGGTGTTTTGGAAAGTTACAGTGTCAAATATAGAACGTTCCATTTTCAAATTGAAATTTGCCAGATTAGTAATGTTACTTTGAGACGGTGTGGTAGCCCAGGAATGAGAATTACCTGCATAATGGCATACCATTTGAAAAAGTAGACAACCCAAGGTATTGAAAGTGGGGTATGTTTAGTCTTTTTTTAGTAGCCACTTAGTCACAAGCACTGGCCAAAGTTAGCGTTCATATTTGTTTTAGGGTGCAAAAAAACAATATTTGGCCAGTGTTTGTGACTAAGTGGCTACTAAGAAAGGCTGGACATACCCCACTTGCAATACCTTGGGTAGTCTACTTTTGCAAATGATATGCCATCATGGGGGTAATTCTCATTCCTGGGCTACCATACGCTCTCAAAGGCAACATAACCAATCTGGCAAATTTCAATGTCAAAAAAATGAAATGCAAGCCTTATATGTGACTCCCTAACTTTCCAAAACACCATAAAACCTGTACATGGGGGGTACTGTTATTCTCGGGAGACTTCACTAAACACAAATATTAGTGCTTTAAAACAGTAAAATATTACAACAATAATATAGTCCATAAAAGGACCGTTCGTTTGTAAAAAATGCAAAAAAGTCACTTTTACTTAAAATCTCATCGTTGTAATACAATTTACCAGTTTGAAACACTAATATTTGAGTTCAGCAAAGTCTCCTGAGTAAAACAGTACCCCCTATGTACAGGTTTTATGGTGTCTTGGAGAGTTACAGGGTCAAATATAGTGCTTGCGAATTAAATTCTCTGCACTTTCTCCCTGTGTTGTCAGGCATGTCAATCAAATTTTAATTAACCAAATCACATAATTATGTTAAAAGATTACTTAAATATACATGTAGAATTTTAATTTATATGCATTTATAAGTATTTAAATTCTAAATTCTACGTGTATACTAATGTAATCTTTTATGTAATTGTGTGTGTGTGTGTGTGTGTGTGTATGTATGTGTAAATGTATGTGTGTGTGTGTGTGTGTGTGTATATGTATATATATATATATATATATATATATGTATATATATATATATATATATGTTTTTTTGCGGTTATTTCTATTTTATATATAGATGGATATAGAATGTCATTCTAAGTGTATTTTGTTACCAATATATATTAATAACAAAATACAGTTAGAATGAAATTACATATGAATATATAATTTATATTAAATTTTGTTTCAATATTTTATTTATTATTGTAATTATACGTATTTATATATATGTGTGTGTGTGTGTGTGTGTGTATATATATATATATATATATATGTGTGTAACGTCATTCTAAGTGTATTTTATTACTAATATATGTACTTATATTAATATTAAAATACATTACGTATGACGTTACTTATATATAGTGTGTGTGTATATGTGTGTGTGTAAATATATATATATATATATATATATATATATATATATATATATATATATATATAATATATTACATTTCTATTTTAATTTTACACATGACTAATCATTTTTTAAATACTTCCCACCAGCAGGGGGACTGTCTGACATTTCAGACAGTCCCCCTGCTGGCAGATCCACAGCCAGCTATAGGGGGCCATGTGATCGCTCTTTGAGAGCGATCACATGGCCCCCGGGGGCCTCATTTGCCGGGGGAGGGCTGTCTGGGCTGTTAGGCAGCCCTCCAGAAGAGGATTGCGACAGAGGTGAGTAAATCTCACCTCCTGGGGCTGCAAGCCGTTACGGCGTTCCATGCCACTGCAACGGCTTTAAAGCCCATTTAATGCAGGACGGCATAGAACGGTGTTAAGGGGCTAAAGATTATTACTAAAATCTTAATGCAAATAGAGCTTTGAAAGGGTAAGCACTTAGTAGATCAGGCCCAAAATAGATTATTCTTTGAGTAAAGCCTATAAAGGGTATTAGCATATACTTTTACATAATTCTATTGGGAAAATTTGAAGTTTCGTTTCTGGCTCAAAATAGCTGCTACACAGTGATTAGTTAATATGGGTCTCAATAATCACTAATTGCTGCAACAGGGTCAGCAATTAAAGTGAAGTGTTTTGTGGAATATATTCACAAGAGCAAGACCCGTATGACTATTGGAGGATTATCCTCGGTATTTTATCCTTAGGAGGCTGATATTTAAAATCTGGTTTTGGTTAAGTTAATATACTGTTGTAGCAGATGGATTCTTTAAATGCCAGGATCCTAGCCGCAGTGTTTATTTTCTTAAAACATGCAGTAGGCTTTTAGCAATTGCTGTAGACAAAGCTCTGTTGCAATTAGCATTCTCACCACCTCAACTAGTTTCATCTGATATCAGTTTCTAAAACGGCAGTCTGTTTTTCAGCTGGGGCAGAACATTTCCTTTGCTTCACTCCATGGTTGCACATTTTATGTTTTATCTTAAATTCCAAGTCTTATGTTGTCAGATAGGTTTGAGCTAACTGACTGTTGGAATGAAAATGCTTTCTAATATTGTTTCCTGCAGAGTTTGCATCAAGCAGAATAGCTGCAACTGCAGTTAAAACCTGTCTGCTCTAGCCTCTGCTTCCCAAATACGGCTGAGGAAAGCCTATAGCAGGTAAGGCTGTTGGTTGGTATTGCAATTTTAAAGAATTACTTCTACTATTGATTCCTGCAGAGTCTGCATCAAACAGGTTTTGAAATGCAGTTTGCAGATGTTATTTGTGCTCTAGCCTCTGCTTCCCAATTATGGCTAAGGAAGGCCTGGATCATGGGTATTGTCTTATGCTGACTGTATATCTATGTAATCAGTCTCGCTTTCGCCAATAAAGATGGTAACCTGTATGAACTAGTCTCCATGGAAAATGATTTCTTCCTCATGTTACTGGGCTTGAAGCAAGTTCTAGTACAGCTGCAGGCCTATTCATCAAGGTGTAGTTTCACCAGGGGTTCAATTTGTTCCCTGCACTGCAATAGATACGATATGACTGGGATGGTTTACTGCTGGGGTTTGTCTGCAGCTTTCTTGTAAGAAAAAGCTTATGGCAATTGCCACTTGAGATTCTCTCAATATGCAAAATGTTGCCATCCATAAAGTTGTTGAATCTCTACAATACTGCTTCCTCAGGGGCACCTAATTAATTTTTGTACACCAGCCCCTAAATGTTAGGGTGTTTCTACAGCATACAGGTGGATGCTAATCAATCTTCTGATAAAGAATTCTCTTTTCAAGAAGTGTGCAGTTCTGGTGTTTGTCAAGGAACAGTTCAGGTGTAAATATTTTGACAAGGGTTTTTGACCACAAAAAAAAATTGTGGTTCTCTCTGTCCTTATCACCTGAAATATCTCTTCTACTTCAGTAGACAAGATACTAGGGAAATAATATTGGTTCCTGTCTTGTAAGAACCTGCTTGGTCTCTTCAGCTTCTTTAGGCATAGCACTATTTACAGGTCCTTCAGTGGCCAGATACAGTTGCTAATAAGATTTTGCAGTAAAATCCTATACTTCGGTCATTCCTTTCTGAACCAGGCAGAAATGAAGGATGCCAGACGGTTCTTACATTTTGTTCTAGTTCTCAAATTGATCGTTCAGAATTTTACGACTGATGCTTCAGGTCTCAGCTAGGTTCTCATAGGGATGAAGGGAAAGCTGAGATAATTTGTAAAAACTTATCCAACTACATAGGACCGAAGGCTATCTGGCTAGCTCTCTTTGCCTTTCAGATAAAGACCAGGTATTATCTTATCCAGATCTGGTCAGATAATTCTACATCGGTAGCAATTATGTACAAACAAGGTCATCTTGATCCAGGATATACTTAATATTCCTCTGTTTAGCTGTAGCATTGAGTAGTCAACATTTTAATACAAAGCAGATTGGTTCATACTCCCTGATCTTCACCCAAACGATAGGAAGAATTTGATTTTCCAGTTATGGAACTGGGACTTCTAGATCAAACAGATAGCATGAAGTGTTTCATTGAACAAGCTTGGACAGACCAGTAAGCTTTGGTTTCCTTTTCTTTCTTGGGAATTCCAGTCTTACCTATAGTTTCCTCCTGGTTCCCTATTCCCCAAGATCCTATAGGATGGAAAAGGTGAGAATGATAGTCTTCCTCCCTTGGTGGCAAGTAGCTGTTTCACCGTTCATCAAAAATGATCCGGAGGAATCTTTGGGGACCTTATCTGTAAATTGGCATCCTGGAATTCTCAAGGGTACCACTTCTCAAATTTGTTGTAATTCAAGCTGACGACCTTGTTTATGTATACCAGATACTGAAGGATAATGTTTTGTTTCAGGAAATTGACAATTAATTTTACTATAAATGGATCTTGTTCCAAGATTTATTCCAAGTATGGAAGGGTTTTTTTTTTAAGATATTGGTTCATAGAAAAGCAGGCATCCGCTTCCAAGTTTTAACTTTTTTTTTTTTTTTCTTCGGATGGGCTTTGCGGATGGTTTAAAGCCAGAGATCCTCAAGGTCAAATTTCGGTTATCAGTTGATTTTCAGAGGTTTGTCTCCAAATCACCAGTATCTGCTAGGCTCTTTCGTGGTTAGTTCCTATCTTCAGGGAATCTTTTCCACAGGGGATCTTCTTTTGGAGTTTTTTACTCTGCTGATTTGAGGCTTCACTCTAGGTCTTTGGGGGGTAGTCACCCAAAATATTTTTGGGAAGAACTACAAGTTCTTCAAGTTTCCAATTTCAGCAGGAGAAAGTGGAGTTAAGTTGGATTCTTTAATTCTTCTCAATCTTCCATCTAACATTATTTTTCTAACTTTTCCTAACAGCGTTCTGGGGTCTTGGAATTCTAATTCCCCTGCCTGGGCGTTTAGTTCTCGTCTACGTTACCTTAAAGGTCTGCCGTTGTTTAGGTTTTTTTCTTATCTAACACCTATCTTCATTGAAGCTTCTTCGATCAGTTATGTTCAGATCGGTTGCCTGAGGGATTCTGCTATACATTCTCTCGATTTCCTAACAGCCACGAGGTGATCTTTTCGCTCAATTTTGTCTGTTGATCTTGGAAGATACAACTTTGGTCGCAGGTTTTTTGCAGTGAGAATTGATTCCTGCCCTAAGGGGTTGCTTTTGGATATCCCAGTTGTAAAGCACTGGCTCTAGTCTGAAGGGGAAAAACTAAAATTTTTACTTACCGTAAATTTCTTTTTCCGAAAGATTAGAGGCAGTGCTCACTTCCCCCCCCAAATTTGTTCATAGTCTGAGTGGTACGGTTATTCGGCTTTTGTAATTTCTGGGGATGTCTTTGGTAGGAAGCAATTTATAGGGCCAAAGGTTAATTGGGGGGAGGTTCTTGAAAAGTTTGGGAGATTGCCTGCCTGTTTTTTCCCTCCAGGTGATGAAATCCCAGTTGTAAAGCACTGCCTCTAATCTGAAGGGAAAAATAAATTTTCGGTAAGTAAAAATTTTTGGTTTTCTTAGCTGCAGAGCTTGCCCTGTATTATGCGAAGCTTCTCTAAAAATGTCTAAAATTAGCAAGAAAAAATATTTAAATACTGAAGATATTGAGAAATAATATACAGTCGTTTGAATGGGAAAACCTTTACATATGCACATTTTAAAATTTAACTCTCACTCAAGTTATAATTTGTGTGTTTGAATATCCATTCTTTTCTTGTGTTGTAGGCTATTACGGGGATGGTTTGAACGCCATTATCGTCTTTGCTGTATGCTTTATGCCAGACAGTAGTCAACCTAATTATCGCTATCTAATGGACAATCTCTTTAAGTAAGTAAAATTCTGTTTGCGTTACACCAGTTATTTCGGTGCATTTGTGGATACAGTTGTATTTGTACAAAACTTAAAACTGGAAACAAAAAACCAAATTTATAAACTATGAATTGCCTATAAAGTCAGGGGTAAGCAACCATCAGCACCCCAGATGTTCTGGGCTAAATCTCCCTCATGCTTTGCCAGCATTATGACTGTAAGAGCATGGGAGTTGTGCAAAAAGTTGCCTACAATGGGTCTTGGTTGTGTGTTGACTCATGGGGCGTCCCTTTAGGTGAGTTCTGGTGCTCAGTTGTAAATGCCAACAAGTACTGTGTGTTTGAATGTGTCTCAGGTTTTTTTTGTGGTTTTTTTTATTCTCCCAGTGTAAATCTCGAGAGAGATAGTATGTCCTCCGTCAAAATTAGTAATAACTATAGATGATTTTCTATACATTACCTGGTAAAGCATGCAAATGAGTTAACCTTTGCAGTGCCGTACACAAAGTGCCTGTGTACCTACGATACTGCTGGAGTAAATACCCCTTGTGAGTGCATGGCCAGGGCATCATGGCATGGCCACCTCGCTGTACAGTGAAGTGTGGCAGTGGAAATTTTTTTTTTTTTTTTTTTTTTATTTCACTTACTTCCCCTGCTCTGTTCTGTTCAGTAAATTCTGAATTTGCATTTACTTTGGTGAAAACACAAGGAAGTGGGTCACATCTCTAGAAGCCTTCTTAACATTTAGTTTTGGGTTTTGCTCCAGCTCATATTTTATAATACATTTTAATTACACATCTGCAATGACTAGATAGCTGTGTTATTAATTTAAAATACATTTTGGCTTTAAAGGGTTACTGAATGCGCAATGGCTACTTCGATGATTTGAGGTGGTCATGGTGCCAGGAGTCTGTATGTGCAGCATTTTGCTTTGAAACACTACAAATAGAGAGAGATATATATATATATATTCCTATCTCTGTCCCTGTCCTTGTCCCTGTCCCTGTCCCTATTATCTATATAGCACCAACAAATTCCGTAGCGCTGTACAATGGATGAACTAACAGACACATAATTGAGATCAGACCACTGGCCATAGGGGATCGGGATGAGGAGAAAACTCAGTATGTTTCTTTTTTTAATTTTGTTCTTTCTTATAATTAGTGCATTGGGGTGGGTGGCAGCACCACTACCATCATTACTCTATCTTTTATTAAGCCTCCTTTTTTGGCTTTAACAACCATTTAAATCGTTCATATTTTGATTGAGAAACATTTTATATAAAAGTTATTTCGAATGGAGCTACAGGGGTTTGAGACTTTATCCTTAACATATTATCGATTATCCACTATTGGGGAAAGTCTTTGGTTTTATGGCAGTTATTGAGCTAGTGCTTGTCTTAAGCAATGGAACAGAACGAGATATTCGTGAATGTTTGCATACTACACAAGCTGCAAGCTTCATTGCAGTTAAGTAAATATAAAGTAGTCGAATATTACATTGATAAAAAACCATGTCTGTAGATTTAATTGGATGTTTTTCTAATTATTATAATTAGGTATGTTATTGGAACTTTGGAAATGTTAGTTGCAGAGAACTACATGATCGTTTATTTAAATGGAGCCACAACACGGAGGAAAATGCCAAGTCTGGGTTGGCTCAGAAGATGCTATCAGCAGATTGATAGAAGGTAAGCTGTTTTTTTTTCACAAATCCTGTTCCTACATATTTTAATTTGCTTTAAGCAACTCTTTAGGAATGAGAAAATTAATTTATTTGAAATGCTCTTGCAGTTGTGACTGACTAAATGCAAATACAAGATTGTCTAATTTTAGTGATTTATTTATCTTTAGATTCCCACAACTGGCCCTTTTCCATTTATCGGGCTACAAAACCATCTATTCCTACCATTTAATTTATTATTAGGCGACTTTTGACTTACCGGTGATTCGAGAGGGCATTTAATCACTAGTCTTTGCCATCACTTATTTATTTTTTCAAATTTACGCTTATCAGCCACAACATTAAAACAACCTGCCTAATATCGTGTAGATCCTTCTCGCGATGCCAAAACAGCTGCGATGTGTAGAGGCATGGACTCCACAAGACTTCTCATCATGCCTCGTGGTACCTGACACGAGACATTGGCAGCAGATCTTTAAATCCTGCAAGTTGCTTGATAGAGCCTCTGTGCATCAGATTTGTTGCTCCAGCACATCTCACTGATGCTTAATCAGATTGAGGTATGGGGAATTTGAAGGAAAAGGCAACACACCTTGAAGTCTTTGTTAAGGTCCCTTAAACCATTCCTGAACAATTTTAGCAGTGTGGCAGAGTGAATTATACTACTGGAAAAGGCCACTGCCATCCGGTAACATCATTGCAATCTCTTGGTAGGTGGTACATGTCAAAGTAACATCCACGTGAATGCCAGGACCCAAGGATGCCCAGAGCATAACACTGCCTCCGCTGTACTGCCTTCTTCCCATAGTGCATCTTGCTGCCATCTCTTCCCCAAGTAGACGTCGCGCACACACCTGGTCATCCACCTGATCTAACATGATTGATCACAACAGGCAACCTTCGTCCATTGCTCCATGGTCTAATTCTGACACACATGTCTCCATTGAAGGTGCCTTTGTTGGTGGACAGGGATCATCATGGACACACTGACCGGTCTGTGACTATGCAGCCCCATACACCGCAAACTGTGATGCACTGTGTGTTCTAAAACCTTTTTATCATGGCTAGCATTACGTTTTTCAGCAATTCGAGCTACAGTAACTCTTCTGTGTGATCGGACCAGACAGGCTAACCTTCGCTACTCACATGCTCAATGAGCCATAGGCGCCCATGATTCTGATGGCAGTTCACCGATTGTCCTTCCTTCCACCACCTTCTAACCACTGTATGCCAGGTACAGTCCACAAGACTAGCTGTTTTGGAGATGATCTGATCCAGTCGTCGAGACCTCACTATTTGGCTATGAGATCTTTTCGCTTGCCCATTTTTCCTACTTTCAAGACGAAACGAAATTCAAGAACTGACAACTTTCTGACTAATATATCCCACCCCTTGACACGTGCCATTGTAATGATATAATCAATGTTATTCACTTAAGTGTCCAGTGGTTTTAATGTTGTGGCTGATCAGTGTATGTGTACTTAATTTTTTTTTTTTTACTTGCTTTATAAAAATGATGGTGGTTGCTGACTTATTATTGCCTTTCCCGGTTATTTATATATTTAAATGTATTTTGATTTTTGAGAAGCTCCATTTGACATATCCATCTTTTCTTTACAGGTTACGGAAAAATCTGAAATCCTTAATCATAGTTCATCCTTCCTGGTTTATTAGAACACTTTTAGCTATCACAAAGCCTTTCATTAGGTAACTATTTCATTTTTTTTTGTCTGTATGTTGTATTGTTTGCTTTTTTTTAATATTTTGTTGCTGATAACGTTATTTTTCTCTTTTTTACTTAGCTCCAAATTCAGCCAGAAAATTAAATACGTGTTTAGCCTGGTGGAATTAGCAGAACTTATTCCTATGGAGTATGTCAGCATACCAGAATGCATAAAGGAGTATGTAATTTTCATCTTTTCCTTTTTACCATCCATCTCTTCTCAAATTAAACTCTACTCTAGAATATTTTATTGTAAATGATGCCCATTATAATGTATTACTGTATGGGAAGTCACATCATATTTTTTTTGTTTTTTCTCCTTTGGTATATTTTTACATAGTTGTAGAAAAGTTCCGCGTAATTTTGTTTCCTGTAAAGAGAGCGCTATAATGTTAAGTATAAAATAATACATAATTTTAAAGAGGAAGTATTGACACACATCCTATCTCTGATGCATATGTACAAATAATGAATAAATGTATGCAAACAAAAGCCCTAAACCTTTAACATTTCTGTAGCTTTACAGCTGAGAGAGAGAGGTTGTCTACAGCTACAGACACCTCCCTGACCAGGAAGAGGCTTTGCCGATTATGAGCCTATCATTTAGGTGTATGGGGTTTCACCTTATTACTTTATCCACCTGCTGCTGTTTCTCTCATCACATGTGTTGAATGGAACAACTCACATTTAGCTGATAACCGCTATATCAGATCTGCTTTTAACTTACCCACAGCCCAATTGGCAGTCCTGTGAACCAGTCAGTGAGCAGCAATTGCCTCTGGGAAGAGAGATCTTTCCTACTTGTGGAGTGTGCACTACAAGCACAAGTTGGAAGCTATTGACACATCAAAGGAAGAAGTAAAACTCTTTTGCTGTGTTAGACCTAGAGGGCTAGGTTACAACTGCTGTGATTTTTATAAATACAGTATCTGAAGTAATAAGCCCCATTTCAAAATGAGAAGTTCATGCAGGGTCATCTCATGCAAGTTATAGTAGTTTGAGTGACCCTTTAAGAACCATTTTTGTTGTGTGGTATTTTTGTTTCTTTGTTTTGTTTTTGAGGGTGAAAGGGGGTGTTTTGATGTATATATTTAGTTTAGTTTTTTTCCCTCTTTCTATAAGCTTGGTGTCCCTATAGTAGTAGTAGATTTCTCTGGTTAGTCTAATGATAAAATTGCATCTAGACATCATCTGCAAATAAATGCTTATTGATAGAGGGAAATATATGGGAATTGCAAGGAGAGAAAAATTCTATCAAATTTTCGTACAATAGTTTTCAGACACACAAGTCCAACTGAAATTACTCCAGGCCACTTTCCAAAACACAACAGTTGTAGCTTAATTTAGCAAAATTTTGTCAAGGATGATTTCTGATTCTTAGACATATTTGCACATACAATAAAGTGTAAAGATATAGCTAAAATAATTTAAAGCAAGGATATTTTTTTTTTTATGTCTTCTTTTTTTTGTGTGTGTGTAGAGCAATACATTGTCACATGTTTTGTCTTCTTTTATATTGCGACTTAATTCCAATTCTTTCCTACTAAGGTATGACGAAGGAAAATTTAAAAAGAAACAGAAAAGGTATATGCACACCTTTCATGGGTTGCACCAAGATTAGTCCATCTGCTCTGCACAAACTAACCCTTCCCTTATTGGTTGGCTTGCAGAAACGCATACAGCATTCGTAAATATAAACATGCACTATATTCTTAGACTACGGAATAGAGTTTTCACCCTAGAAATTCTCATCTTGTAGATGAGCTCTTGTTATATATGCTAATCTAGACCACCAATGGCATCTGCAATTGGGGAATTTTTGTGCTTCCATATCGAGGGGCAATAAGGAGATCGATGTAGGTGCATTCAACTTTTTTTTTTTTTTTTTTAAATATAAAATAAAGTCTTTATTTCCTGCAACACAATTCTCAGCATGCCCTGTATTCACAAAACACAAGCCAGTCCTGCATGGCCTAATCTTTCCTGTTATATACCTATAGTGTTCTTCCCCTAACTAGCATCCTACACATTTTAGCAACCTAATGCTGTTATTAATGTTTTTTTTTTTTTTTTCTAGCAGTATATTAAAGCATTTTGCAGTCGGTTTTGTAGTGTAGTGTTTGTATTTGCAGTGTTATAATTTCCAAGCTAACCAATATTTCACACTATGATTCTGGTCCTTTCTCCTGTCAGTATTTCCTGCATCCAGTAAGTAGTCTTACTTTTAATGGCCAACTTGCACTGCTTTACCCTGCTTTGAATTTCAATACAGCTTTTACAACCCTGTATGTTGCATGAGTCGCATTGCATTCATGGACATCTGGTCAAAATAATTCATCATTTTAATTGAAAATGAGAAAGATTCGATTGAAGTATTGCTAACATCCTTCATTATTTCCGATCATTGTTTCAAATATATCTATAATTTCTTTATTAAATTGCAAGTTTGTTCTCTGGGAGCTGTTCATTAAACACCAATGCAGCACTTGCATTATGTCCCTTAACCCGTGAGCTGTGTTATATGCTTTGTAAAATTGGCAAAATGTGTTATTGCATATTTTAAATTGATCGGCTGAGTCTCTGCCAAGTTTAGCTTCAAACTGCATATCTCAATATACGTATCATTGACCCCAGGAGGATCCACGATTTGTGATCTTTCCAAGGCCAATAATAAAAATGCTATTACACATCTTTGTAGATGTTGGAATTTGTTTTCCTGCTCTTAGTGGTTATGGCTTCGTGAACAGCTCTATACACTTTTGTTTACTTGAATCACTTATCCTAATTATTGTTTAATATATCCTTTTTTTAAATTAGATTGCATGTTATTATATGGTCCACCAAGTATTCTGTTAATTGATAAAATGTCTAAAGGGTTACTCCAGCCAAAAAACCGTGCTTGCATAAAACACTGGTCTTGGTAAGAGTAACCCTTTCTGAAGTGGTGTGTCCTTCGCCCTCACCAGAATGGGCAGAGTTGGAGGTCTTCCTTTAGCCGTTAATGACACTGAAGGAGGTGGAGTGTTATCTCCGGCAGCTAAGTGGTTAATCTCTAAGTGCAGTGTTTTTTAAGCAAAATGCTGTACATACAGACTCCAGGCACCATGACCACCTCAAATAACTGAATTGGCCACTGTTGGTTTAAGTAACCATTTGGCATTCTGGATTGTTAAACTGTATATACAAAAGTATGTATATTACTTCTCACCAGTCAACCTCATTGTATAGTAATGAAGTTCCGATTACAAGTATTATATGCCATGTTTCAATTAGAGAATGGATTGGCTTGAGTTCTAAGATCACTATTCACTGAGCTGCAGTTACCAGATATTGCAATACGTTTTGTTCGTTCAGTTTCTAATTTATTAGATAACATGTATTCATGGTTAGGACTCTGTTTGCAACTTTGATTAACAAGGCACTGGGGACACTCCTTGGGGGGTTTTGGTCCATCCTGGCATCACACAACCCTACAACGTTTTGTATTAGATTTAGTGATGTCCCGAACGGTTCGCCGAATGGTTCGCGAACGGTTCGCTGCGGACTCATCATTGAGTAAACTTTGACCCTGTACCTCACAGTCAGCAGACACATTCCAGCCAATCAGCAGCAGACCCTCCCTCCCAGACCCTCCCACCTCCTGGACAGCATCCATTTTGAAGCTGCTTTCTTAGTGAGCTGTCCGGGAGGTGGGAGGGTCTGGGAGGGAGGGTCTGCTGCTGATTGGCTGGAATGTGTCTGCTGACTGTGAGGTACAGGGTCAAAGTTTACTCAATGATGAGTCCGTGGCGAACCGTTCTGGACATCACTATTTGTATTAAATGGTGTACTAAATAAAGTCATCACAGATCGCCATATTTTGTACACTTACTGCATATTTTTATTTTAAAAAAAAATTATTGAAATTAATGCATTACATTAAGAAATCCAGGCCTACATATTTTGTGTTATATGATGATATGAATTGCTGAACACTGATATAGAATTACTTGTATTGTTTATGGAGGTAGGCTCCTGTATAAAGTTATAATTTTACTATATAATTTGTTTTTTTAAATTCTGTTTCGTTGTTTTCCATTTTCCTAAACAATCCTAAATACCCTGTATATTTTTCCTCCCTTTATGTCTGGGATTTATAAATGTCCCACCCAGTGATGGTGAAAGATTAGACTGATAACTAATGTTGAAGTTTTTCAATGCTAAATATTATGTGATGCAAGTCTGGAAGAGTAGAAATCATGAATGATAAAACATTTAAAAAAACACTCTAAAGAGAAGCTGTTAGGTCTCTGTGACTGTTCCTCTAATTTTAAACTGGTTACAATTTTTCATATGACACAATCATATTCCGCCGCACTGTACAGTAGGAAACAATAGAAACATTTAATTCTAACAAACTATGTATGACATCGGTGAACAGTGGGTAAATAGGGCCCTGACCCAAAAAGCTCACAATCTAAAGGGATGAGGGACAAATACACAAAGAGAAATAAGAAAATTAAGTGAATTGAATGTAACAAAGGATGGGAGGGCTGTTTGGGAGGAAGGAACACAGTAGGTGGAGTACAGCAGATGAAGACTGCAATGGAGCGGATGGGATTTTAGGAACTTTAGCTGGGATAAGAATTTACTTGGAGGCGAGTAGACTATATCTTGTCAGTAGTTTGTTGTGCGCGTGACATCATTTGCCCCGCAACGTTCATAAGCACTCTGGTATCTGCATGGACTGTGCTGTATGAGTCCACCTGGCATCACGGGGTTACAGTAAATTGTATGTTCTGACTGCAGTACAAGTAAAACAAAGTGTACTAGATGTCAGCACCTGTAGATTAGTATGCTGTGAAAGAGTATGGGCCAAGGAGCATTGTGCCTTTTTGTATTTCTTAGTAGGTAAAACATAATAGATTTGCCTGATGCAAATGTTTGACTCACGATTGTGGATATACAAATTCCAACACTTTTTAACTGTTCTTTTCAATTGTTTTTTTACTAGAGTTGATAAGGATCTTAACAAGAAGACTGAAGACCAATCTAGCGAGCAGTAAGATTGTATGAGCTGAAGAATATCCTTCGAGGAGCAAAAAAAAATGTTTGTTTTGTTCATCCTGGCTTCTTTGTTTACCTGCTCTGACAGGTGCCTTTTGAAATGTTACTCATGTGTATTTATACAAGGAGCTACTTTATTCTCCATGGAAGAAAGGGCTACCTAAGTACACAGTTACTGGTTAAAGTGTAATAGGCTTTTCATACAATAATGGTTCCCGTACAAGTTGAGTAGTTATGCAAATGCACTCATTATATACAGTATAAATATCTTAACTAACTTTGCTGGCACAACTGCCAAAACAATACAATATTACAGTGGCGTTGCCAAAGAAAAGTCCCAAGATCTGAAATTTGTTTTCTTTTACATTAGATTTCCAATCGAATACATCCTTGTGCAACGGTGACTGTATTGTCAAGAAGATCACTTGGGTATATAAGTGATTCTGGGTTTTGTCATCTTGTCACAATTTTGTAAAGATCCGTCCCATACAGGACCAAAGTCAAACAAACCAAATGGCTGCAGTATGTTCAGTGTAGGAAATGTAGGTGATTAGCAGGTTTGTTCTATCTGTATTTTATTATAATCTATGCTTCTGTTTGGAGCAGATATATCTATCTAACTGAACTTTTTCCATCATGAAGAACAAACGGTTATTTATTAAAATAGTATACATGATTTAAACCGGACAAGAAAACTGATGACATGCAGCCCCAGCCATATCCATAAGTCTGCCCTTATTGATGTTACAGATATTTTAGTTTAGAATATTAATTGCTATGAAAAACAAAGTGGTCAACAATATATATATATATATATATATATATATATATATATATATATATATATATATATATATATATATATATATATATATATATATATATATATATTTATTAAGTGTGTGTACATAGAGGTAGGTTTGTTCGAGGTATGCTGTTTACATGTATTGACTGCTATGTTAACTCACCAACTTTGTGACACACAATTAAGGAGTAAAAATAAGCATTTTAAATCCTTTAGCACTCTTTTGGGCAATGTGCTATCCTTCTTAATCACATATGTGCAATAAAGATTGTCAGGTGTTTTAAGAAATATATGTAACTAACATGAACCCAGATGACCCAAAGGCAAACAAATATACTGAAATTTGTATTACTGGCATATTATAGCTCCATTGTGCACACCTTCCTCATTGAAAACCAGTAGTTTATAGAAAATAATTTATTTTTACTATGTTATTGCAGGTCTTCATCACATTGTGTTGTTTTTTTGTTTTTTTTGTTACCCTTTAACAAAGCAACTAGTTTAATATGGACTTTAACATTCACCTGGTCAAGAAGCAGTGTTTTGTCCCGTGCTTTTATTTGTTGTGAAGATGGTTTTAGCTTATTTTAGAGTTCAGTGTTAAAAGGAAAAGGGAAAAAAATAAAAGTATTAAACCTGTACATCAGGTAGCACTTCCTCCTTCAGAACCTACGAAATCATGATGTAAGCATCAGATACTTCTGATTTTCTGCTATTCTTTACCTTGTGATATGCAGGAACCCACATAGAAACTAAATAAATGTTGTAGCATGGGAATATTTGCCCTCTGTATTGGAAATCCTACATTTAGTTAGAAAAATGATTTAGACTTTTAGAACTGTATAACTAGAAATCTGTGACTCAAGTGAGAACACTACAAAGTTAAGAACAGATATTCGATCTTAACATTTGGGGTGTTCTCTAACCCCTTTAGATGCCATCCGTGTGTACCCCTCTCCTACCCCTCCTAGAAACCTAATAATAAAGATTGCTTGCCGGTTTTATTTTTCCTGCGGTGAGCACTTTCTTACTGCCTATCGGTGACTATCATCTCCCTCATTGCCTCAAATGCTACAATCACTCAACAGATTGCTTCTCACAGGGAAGCAATCGAGCAGAACAAAAAGCTTCCATATGAATGCATTAGTCTAACAATGCACAAAGTGGACCCAGCTTGATGGCTGGGTGGGCATTTTTCAACCCTATATGATGAAAGTACAACTTTCTCATGATATAGGCACTTTTTATAAATTGGAACAAGTGGGACCTTATGTTAACCACTAAAGCACTTCAGTGAGCTAAAGTGCTTTTGTGGACTGGAGTGTCCCTTTAGTCCAAGATACCATCCTAGCAATATTACTATTCCAACATTCCATGATGTCCATTCTGCTCAGTTGTGTGTTAGTAATTTACAGCGATAGCTATATCTGTAAAGCAGAAACTTTAAATATATTTATAATTTAAATTTTTAGCCCTTGGAATTCTTGGCCTGGATACTGGTACAAAATTAATGGGTAAAACAGAATTCAGAGTTTTTCATGCAAGTCATAATGGAATTCGGAAATGCAATTAAGATACCTGCTTTCACATACAGGATAAGTTAAGATTTTTCCATTAAAATAATAATAATAATAATAATAAAACAAAAAAACACTATCCTGCAGACACAATGGGAAGTCCATACATATAGTTTTGTTTTGGGGGTGATGTGCTGGTTTGTAAACCTCTGTATAGTAAAGGGAAATGACCAGCAACAAAGGAAATGGCCTTTGAAGCTTGAATCCCTCCAGCATCAAATAGTGGGTTTTTTGGTTGCAAAGTCTTGGAACAGAACCAATTAGTTACAATATGAATGTTGCAATACGGTCAGATGCATGGGATCCGATACAGACTTTTACATGTTTACCTTAATGCCTACCTTTTTAATATTGTTTTAGGACTGTTTTATAATGTATTGTAACATGTCAGAGAACCACAGTTTGTTTTTTAATGTATGTAGAACGCACTCTTGCAACTTTTATCTGGAGGATGCATGTTCTTCATTGAAATATTTATATTCATAAAAAGAAAAGGAAAGAGATAATATATATTTTTATGACTTTTTGTGAACAATATTTTATAACGTGCTCTCAACCCCCTCTGCAGGCAAATTAAGACCATCCTAGACTGTTCTAAATCAAATAGGATATTGGCGCATTGTATATGTTTGTAAACCGATTATTTGTAGATGTTGCTGTTTCACTTGCAGAGATACTGTCATATACAATATTGTAAGCCTGCTCCTTATTATCCATGTATGTAGTTTAGGTAGGAAAAATATAACATTAAATAAAGACTGGTTTCTTTCTGTTGTAAAATAAATGTAATTAATGCCAGCGACATGAATAGTTTGTTTTTATTTGCAGAGGGAATTCTAATGGCGTATAGCTTATAAGATAAAATCTGGATTTACCGAGTCGAACAATTTGATCATGGGAAAAAAAATGGTCTCTACTAGGAAGAAGAAAACCAATTGACGGGATAACAAAACAAAAGCTCGGTTATGCTAATTTTTACCTCCCTAGTGCACATACCAGTGGAACGTAAATTACTTAAAGGGACACTGCAGGCACCCAGACCACTTCTGCCCATTGAAGTAGTCTGGGTGCCAACTCCCACCACCCTTAACCCTGCAAGTGTAATTATTGCAGTTTTATAAACTGCAATATTTACCTTGCAGGGTTAAGTCCTCCTCTAGTGGCTGTCTACCAGAGAGCCACTAGAGGGACTTCCTGGTTCTTGGAACACGAAAAGTATTTTAAACAACGCTGGAGTTCCTTAATTTAATAATTCTTTCTTATGGGGAGGTCTAATCCGCGTGCAAGGCCATTGCCGCGCATTAGGTCTTCCCCGCTGACAAGCGTGGGCGGAGCCTGACCCAGCGCCGAGGGACATCGGCGCTGGATTCAGGTAAGTCACTGAAGGGGTTTTAACCTCTTCAGCAACATGGGATGATGGGCACTGCAGGGTTCTGCAGTGCCAAGAAAACTGATGTTTTCCTGGCACTGTAGAGTCTCTTTAACAGCTTGATTTTCAAAGATAATTAATTTTGAAACCAATCTATACATACATGCTCACCATCTCAACTATTTTCTCCATATATTAATTATTTTGACATAACGGGTTACTCCAAGCACCATTTGAAGTGGCCATGGTGCCTGGAGTATGTATGTGTAGAGTTTCACTATGAAATGCTGTACATACAGCGATTAACGCCTTTACTGCTGGAGGTATAATCACTTCTGGCAGAGTCAACGGGGTGTCAAAAGCCAGCCTGGAACTTGAGAAATAGGGCCAGAGTACACTGAACAGAAATATAACAGGCTGCAGTGGTTATCATGATTGAAGTAACTCTTTTTAAAAGAGAAATGTCTGCTTCCCCTTTGCTGTCATACCTTCCACATGATAAATAACTTGTCTTAAAGTAGAGGAAGCAGCATCAACAAACCATATCAGTGTCCAAAATAAAAACTTATTGCAAGGTACACTTGATTTAAAATTTCATGTGAAGATCCATTTTTGCTGATTGTTATAATTTTAATAGATACAAGCAAGTCAAGGTTTCATTTTTGGAACAGGTTTACTTAATGGAATAAAAATAATAGGATTGTTTTTCTAACACCGTATGTTTATTTTATATTTTTGCTGTAAAGAAGATGCATGTTAAATCTGCAGACATAAAATCATAATTTTGTGAACTGCAAATCCATGCATTTGTGATATCTTCCAGATAGAAGAAAACTGTTTAAAATAATCTTATTGGAACCACTGGGAGAGCAGGACATTGTGATTACCAAAAAATTTAAACATTGCCTTAATATATAGCCTCATGCCAAATCACTTAAAATTATTAACCCTTGTACTATAATCTTAATTCAAGCTGACTTGTAAAATTCTCCAACTTGCCTATAGTCACAGTTCGGCTATTTTAATCCGAGTTTTGAACAAAATTAAACAGCATCGAGCAGTTCGTCCCATGAGAATACCTGTAATATTAGGGGTGTGTGTGTGTGTGTATACCAGAACTCCACACCAATAAAATTAACTTAGAAATATTGTTTTTTCACAGTTCTACAGCCTTATATGTACATAGCAAATTTTATTACACAGTGCATTCAAGGATTTTTTTTTTATTGTGTGTGTGTATACATAATATATAAAAAGAAATTTGGTAAAAGTCAATTAAAATGTTAATTTCTATTAATAAACTAAAAATATGAAACAACATTTTTAACACTTTCCCAGTGTTAGTGCTTGCTATGCCATCATACAAAAGGATGACTTTAAGTTAGGGTGGCATAGCATGCCCTAATGATCAGGCCCTCCTTCCAGCCCAAATACTCTCCGTGGCAATCATGAACGGGGGACTTGCCTGACAACTGAGGCAGTTCCCCTGCAGCCAATCTAGCCGGTCAGGCATGTGATCACAAGGACACTGATAGGCTAGATTGACGGATTTGGTTTCAGGTGGACTGCCTGGATTGTCGGGCAGATCTCTCAATACAGTGCCTTGCAAAAGTATTGACTTTAGGGTGTGAATAGTTATGCACATTGACTGTTTTTGTTATTTTGTCCTATTTGTTGATTGCTTCACAATAAAAAAAAAAATAAAATAAAAAAAATCTTCAAAGTTGTGGGCATGTTCTGTAAATGAAATGATGCAATTCCTCACACAATCCATGTTAATTCCAGGTTGTGAGGCAACAAAACATGGAAAAAAAAACAAGGGGGGGGGGGAGGTGAATACATTTGCAAGGCACTGTATATAAATAATAATACAAGCTTATATATACACTGTATACTGTATATAATAAACAAGCTTATATATATGTATATGTGTGTGTATATATATATATATATATATATATATATATATATATATATATATATATATATATATATATATTTCCAAGTGATGTTAATATGTATTAAATTCTCTGTAATTTCTGCCTGGGTTGTAAAATAAGTCCCTAATAAATAATCATATATAATTATATATTTGGGGACTTACATGACAACATGGAAGAAATTCCAGAAAATCTAATTTGCAAGCCATATATTTTACCCAGTAACTTTCCAAAACAACTTGAAACCTGTACATGGGGAGCATAGTTGTACTCGTTGGACATACAAATGTTTCAATTACAGTAAAAACTAACTGTATTATAACATTTACAGTTAAAATGCCATGCAGAACTTTGAAATTAAGTCTTAATTTCTCTCACTTTTCATTTTTTTACAATTCTTATTACATTGTTTCATATATAAATGAGATGAAAATAAAGCCCTGTTTCCTCTACCAAATTTATGTGTTTAAGTGCATATAATATGAAAAAGGTAACGTATTGTGGAACAGACATATAGCTCAAATTCTAAGGTTTGTTTTGGTTTAGCATTCAGACATTAGGGGTTAATCTAAAGGTAATCTACAATAATAATCAACTGGATGAGCGGTTTTAAAAAGCCATATAAGTTGCTGTACTGTCTCAAAAGGTGCATGGTGCAGATAATTCAATCCTGCATTAGGATATGACTAGAGACACACCTGACCATACTCCCCGTGCGCACCTCTATAATGCACTTTGTACATGATACAATTGGTGCTTTACAATAATTCACAGTAATTTGTGATATGAGTATATAACACTCACAATATAACTTAACGTTTGCTTAAACTGGAGAAAACAAAAAGTTAAAATCCAGGTATGCAAAGCTTGTCATCATACCCTGTAATAAGGTGTTTGAGCAAAGCACTGAGTTAGGGGTCTGAATACGTATGTCAATATAATTTCTGTTTAACCCCTTAAGGATCAAACTTCTGGAATAAAAGGGAATCATGACATGTCACACATGTCATGGGTCCTTAAGGGGTTAATATGCAATGGTGTAAAAAACATTTTTATTATGTTTTTACGGGGTACTGAGTGTAGATAGAAGTGGAAGAAAACCAATTGTAGCCTAAGGCTGCAAACAAACATATGGAGGGATTTTTCTGAATTAAATGTTTGGTACAGTCTATCAGATATATGTGAAACCATTTGACCAGTTTGATACAAACTGGGTTCTTCAAGCCTAGTCCCTTACTGATAATTCTTAAAGGAACACTCCTCTCCAAAAGTGTAAGGGAGATGGGGATTGCTATTTTGTAAATAAGCCCCCAATGAAAACATGCATGCATGCTTGCAAAAGCTACAATTCTTTCCCAGAAAAGACTTTAACTCTTATCACGGTGAAATAACTATTGAGAAGCCTCTGAATCTGTCCCTCTTTGCGCGCGCACGTCAGCAGCGTTCAGGAAGAATGCTGATCTGATGTATGTAAGGAGAAGGCATACACACTCGAGTAGAGGGGAGCTAACGGAAGGAAGCAAACCTCCCTGGCGATCTAATTTCTCATAAAAACTGCACTTTTGCAAGTGAGGCTCCCTCGATACCACTCGTCTCCTACAACACCATCTAAGAGGCATGACCTCTCAGTGACGGTCCAATCTAACGATCAGCATGAAGGAGCATTGGGGACCTAAAGCACATGTGTGGCGAACAATAAGCACGCATTCAATCTTCTCCATAGGAAAGCATTAAATTCACTGCTTTCCTATGGGCTTCTGCATCACGTCTGAGTTTCACTCAATTAGTGCAGCAAAAGCTCCTCTTGTGGCTGTCAATATGAGCGCCACTAAAGGTGAATTTAAAAGGTTACTCCAACCACCACAACCACTTTTTCTTTTATATGTGGTCATGTTGGTAGGAATCTGTATGTGCACTGTTTTAGCTTGGAAAAACTCTCTTTGAAGTGTAGTGCCAAGTGTTAGCTGCACCCCTGACATTTGTTACTTGGGCTTCTGGGCTGCCTAATATCAATTCTGAGCAAAAATTTATTTGTCTGCAGCATTATGCATCTTCCCTTCTTTCATTTACCACCACTCTATACAGTTTCATTCTATTGCCGCCTACATCCTTAACACACATGCTATTTGTCAAGGAAACTGTCCTATTAAATGCTTCTCTATAAAAACTATGTGATCAGACTACAAGAGGTCATCAGAGATGTCATAGTGGAAGCCAGTGAGGGGGGGGGGGCGGGGGGCTTGCAGGCCAGCGCTGCCTTCCAGGTAAGTTTATACCTGGTTTTAAATGTTAATAAAGGTGGGATAATCTAATTGCTAATGTCGCCCAATGTGTGTATATATAATTATTTAGAAAGGGTTGGAGAAACCCTTTACCCCTGCAATGTAAACATTGCATTTAACCCCTTAAGGACCAAACTTCTGGAATAAAAGGGAAGCATGACATGTCACACATGTCATGTGTCCTTAAGGGGTTAAAGGGACACTCCAGTGCCAGGAAAACCGTTTTCCTGGCACTGCAGGTCCCCTTTCCCTCCCATCCCCCATCCCAAGTTGCTGAAGGGGTTAAAACCCCTTCAGTGACTTACCTGTATTCAGCGCCGATGTCCCTCGGTGCTGGTTCAGGGTCCGCCCATGCTCCTCCCCTGCCGACATTCGGTGGGGGAGACCTAATGCCTATGGGGATTTCAGCAACGCTGGAGGTCCTCACATAGCGTGAGGACGTCCAGCGACGCTATAGCACAGAAAATCTGTGCTATAAACCAGGAAGTGCCCTCTAGAGGAGGAGTTAACCCAGCAAAGTAATTATTGCAGTTTTCCAGTTGCAGGATTAAGGGTAGTGGGAGTTGGTACCCAGACCACTCCAATGGGCAGAAGTGGTCTGGGTGCCTGGAGTGTCCCTTTAAAACAAAACAGAACACACTTTACATTATAAGGTTAAAAGGACAGAGACGCTGCAATAACACTATCACCAAATTTATAAATCCTTGACCTCAGTGACTAAAACAGAGATGAGCCCATTGAGCACCATAACCATTACAAATAACTCTAGTGGTTATGGTGTTCCCTTCAATCACCGAGTAACCCTGCAGGATATGAATTCCACAACCTGCAAGGCAGCACCATGTTTCACGTACTGCCCATCAGCACGGATATGGGCTGTGTGTCCTGGAAAACAAGCTAGCCCACGGCTGTAAGGAAAGCAGGCAAAACGTTGCTCTGTATACAGGCATAGGCAACCTTTGGCACTCCAGATGTTGTGGACTACATCCCCCATAATGCTCTTACACCCATAATGCTGGCAAAGCATCATGGGAGATGTAGTCCAAAACATCTGCAATGCCAAAGGTTGCCTATGCCTGATATTCTATGAAAAAAAAGAAAAAGCAATGAACCACGTCAGAGCTGCTACCCTGCTGTACCAAACCACAAACGCCTTCCTGTTATTAAACCGTCTGCTCTGCGAGCGCCCACACGGGCAACGCTGCCCACAGCCCGCCACGTGACCCGCGCGCCGGCACCGCGTCATAGCTCGGCGACACCGGATGTCCCTATCTGTCACTTCCGGTGTTTGTTGACGGAAGTCAGTAAGTGGAGCGCCCAGACCTGGTAAGAGAGAGAGAGCGAGCTGCTCGATGTCCCCTCTCCCAATGTCTCCATAGTGCCAGCACGCAGGGCTGTGTTATATGATACACACGGAGACGCTGGCTGTTCTCTGGGATCCATTGAGCAGGCAGCAGGCGCTCTGAGTGTAGGGAGGGGGTCTCTGCCCAGTCTGTGTGAGCATTGCAGTCCCCGCAGGGCTATGTGTGTGGGCTGGTTTAGGACTGGGGTGGGCATCCAATATCTGAAATGCAAGGCTGCCCTGCTCACCCCTGGCACTAGGCATTCATTAGAATGTGCTTGCTTTATCCTGAGCCTCTGTCGTTACCTCCCCACCCCCTACAAACTTGGCTACACTTTCTTTGCAACTCTACAGTGTTACCCATGTCTAGATAGAAATGTGCCCTGATAAGACCTTACACAGTGGTTCCCAAACCAGGCCCAACACCTTAGATACAACTGGGTAATCTGTAAATCCTGGACTGTCAGGGGGAGGCGAGGCAACCACTCACTGGTGTAAATTACTTTCTATGTTATGAGACTTTACTCACTCTTCCTTTGCTGAGGGTTGAGCCCACAGCTGTGGGTGCCTTACCTTTTAGCAACTTTTTTGTGACAACCACGTAACCCTGCACACTTTAATCTGTTGTTTCTGTCATTTGTTTATTTCCCCCTACTTTCACTTTCTTTTCCCCCCATCTTGTTTTGCTTTATATTTCTTTTTCCTTTCATATATATATTGCACAGCATAATTGACCATGGTTTTGGTTTCGAATCACTGTGGGGTTTAGTAACATATTTATTTATAAAATATTTTACCAGGAAATATACATTGAGATTTCTCTAGTTTTCAAGTATGTCCTGGGTCCACAAATCATTGCATTGTTACATTAGGATACAATAAAATACAAAAACAATATTAATACACAATAAATACAAATTTAACATAGAACAGGTAGGAAATATATAATCAACCATGACAGGTGCATTCTGTTTTGAGGTATGTAGAGAGGGATCTCTTATAGGACTTTAGGCTTAGGGAAGATTTTAAATTGTGCGGGAGGTCGTTCCACAATTGCGGTGCTCTGGCCTCTTTCTTTTTGTATTGAGGTAGACTAAGTAAAGTGTTGGTACTGGATCGGAGCTTATAGGAAGTGGGAACAGCTGGGGAAAGCATTTTGTTCAGGTAGGGTGGGAATGTTCCAGAAAAGCTCTTAAACACAAGGCTGGAAAGATGAAGTGTGCGTCTGGATTCCAGCGACAGCCAGTTTAGTTCTTTTAGCATGTCACAATGGTGGGTCCTGTAATTACATTGTAGCACAAATCGGCAGAACGAGTTATACAATGTGTTGAGTTTATTAATGTGGGATTGTGATGCAGATGCATATACTACATCCCCATAATCAATGATTGGCATCAGCATTTGCTGTACAATCTTTTCCTTTACTGTAGGCCTTAGGCAGGATTTGTGTCTGTACAGGGCTCCTAGTTTTGGATAAAGTTTAGATGCAAGCTTTTCTATGTGCAGGCCAAATATAGATTGGGGTCTAATATCATACCCAAGTATTTGAAAGAGTGGACTCTGGTCAGTGTGCCATTTGAATTTGTTTTGATGGATAGGTGGAAATTGTGTAATTTGTGTAATTTAGGTACTGTTCCAAAGATCATTGTGACAGTTTTGTCAGTGTTCAGCAAGAGTTTGTTTTTTGTGATCCACTTTTCTACCTCTGTAAACTGGTCTTGGAGCACAGCCTCAAGTTGCGGTAAATTGGATTTGCTCGCATAGATTTCTGTGTCATCTGCGTACATGTGTACATTTGAGGATTAGCAGACATTAGGCAGATCATTTATAAATAATGTAAATAGTAGGGGGCCGAGAATGGAACCTTGGGGAACACCGCAAGTGATTGGGAGAAGGGAGGGAGTCGCTGTCAGAAATGGACACATATTGCGAGCGATCTGATACATATGATCTAAACCGGGTTAGTGAACGATCACCAATACCTGAGTTTTTGAGTTTGTGCAGTAGAATGTCGTGGTCTACTGTGTCAAAGGCCTTAGCAAAATCAAGGAAAATAGCTCCAGTTAGGGCTCCTTGTTCGATCCCAGTTTGGATGTCATTGCAAACTTTTAAGAGGGCAGTTGTAGTGGAGTGATTCTGGCGAAAGCCTGGTTGATCAGGAGTCAGATAGTTTAATTGTTGGTAGTATTCAAAAATTTGCGTATGGACACATTTTTCTAAGATTTTTGACAATACCGGGAGCAATGATATTGGGCGATAGTTAGAAATCAAAGTAGTGTCACCAATTTTATGGATAGGCACTACTCTCGCAGTCTTCCAAAGTTTGGGTATGTATCCAGACACCAAGGATACGTTAATTAGAGTTGAGGCGGGTTTAGCAATTGCCGGCCCACTGAGCTTCAACAGCATTGCTGGGATTTGATCAGGTCCTGACTGGTTTTTCATTTTTAGATTATTAAGATGTTTTTTAATGACACTAATAGGTACAGGTCTAAAAATGAATTTGTCTAAATTGGGCCTTTGCAAATTTAGTGGGGCCTGATCCACATTTGTAGTTTCAGGATGCGTGTCATTTATTAGCTTGGCAATCAGGGCAGTAGAGCATCCGACAAAATAATTGTTAAAGGCATTTGCTACATCTAAGGGAAGTTGCAGGGTTTGGTTACCCACTTTGACAGTGGAGGGTTGGGAGTGGATTGGGGGAGTTTGTAGTTTATTTATGACTTTCCAAAAGTTTCTAGGGTTTGAGATGTTATTGTTCAGATTTTCATAGAAATATTGGACCTTGGCCAATTTTGTCTGTTATATATTTCTGATATTATTTTTTTAGAATCCTACCTTTTCGTGAATATCATCTTTGGCACTTAAAAATTTATTGATAAGGTATTTGCTTTCACTCACTGTTATATCTAAATAGGCAAGCTTTAGATCTTGGCAAACAAAACATTTCATTGTCTGTTATTTAAAATTAGGGTAGTGATCAATCTTTTTGAAACCATGCTATTATTTTGTATATTTTTATTTTTTTTTAGCAGCGGCACTGTTGGGACATCACAGAAAGTAAAATTGTCTAGTCTGATAATTGACTTTCGTCAAACATGGCTTACCAATTGTATAGGAATACCACATTAGGAAACAGTCTTCAGGAGAGTCTGGATGAGCTAATACAGGTATTACACTCTTTCATTTATTTGTAAATTTCAGAATTTTAATAATCCTGCAGATGATAACTTAAGTGAGAACACAGGGTTTGACGAATTTGTTTTTAATCTACTAGCCAGCTATAAAATGTAGTAGCCAGGATGTTTTTTGAACTAACAAAGCTTTATCTTCAACGCTAAAAATACAATTCTTATTTTTCAGTGTAAACCCTACCCTTTCAGAGCATTTTTAAAAATGGCAGGTACACTTTACATTGCATTGCTGCTTAGTAACATCTCTAGTGAGAGTCACTGAGATGGCCACTATAGTTGCTTCCCACTCTATGTTCAGCGTCTCCATATATCCTGCATATACTACACTGATAGAGTGGACAGGCATCTCCTTTGGCAATGCAAATCTGGCGCTGATCATATGCTAAGAGTTAAAAGTACAAATGCTGTCAGCTTATTTTACTGTTCAGTTGACTATATAAAACAAGAATGTCAAGTGTGGGCAAAAAAATGTTTATTAAGTAAATCGTTTGATATATATATTTTTCTTCAGTCTCAACAGATTAACCCTCAGCTTGCTCTTCAAGTACTTTTGCAGTTTGACAAAGCTATTAATTCTGCATTGGCCCAGCGAGTCAGGAACAGAGTCAACTTCAGGGTAAGGATTGAATGTTTAAGATGAAGAAGTTTTATTATAAAGTTTAAATGTTATATTCTCAGAATATCTTTTAAAGGTTACCTGCCATCATACACACGCATTTTTAATTGAATTGAATTGAAATGAAAAAAAAAAAGATTTTATGAAGAAAAAACATCCATCAATCAACTGTTGGTATAAGACCTGCATGCAGTTCCCCTGTTTTTTGGCACAAATATTCTGACGGAGATATGCTGACAGTAAACTTAGCATGTTGGTGTCATTGTGGAGCATTGCTTTACTTGGGAAAGTGTACCCAAGCAGGGCCAGTTTGCAATCGCCATCATCTCTTAAAATAAACATATAATTCATAATCATATATTCAGTGCCTTAGAGGACTGTTTGGTAGATTTTTTTTTTTTTAAGACTTGTTTAAAAAATTTTACTTTTTTTTTTTTACCGTTAAACCCTAACTAGCTGTAAGCAGCACTAACAGTAAATTCCCCATAACTCCCACCCACCCACCCACCCCAGCTCCCACCCAAATTAATTAAATTAAGAAAATGAACCCCCAGGGTTAAAAAAAAAAAAAAAGTTAACCCTTAGGGATTTAAATAAAATCAGATCACAGTATAATACTGTTATCTGTATTTTCATCACTGTAGTCAGTGATCTGATGTCAGGAAAGGGGTTATTTTTTTTATTTATTTATTTGGTAAAGAGGGGGGTGGGATTTTAAACTAACTTTATTTGATTAGTTTTTTACAGGGAGAAGATTATTATGTTTATATAGCTCCAACAAATTCCGCATCGCTTACAGCGGGTGGACAAACAAACATGTAGTTGTAACCAGACAAGTTGGACACACAAGAACATAGGGGTTGAGGGCCCTGCTCAATGAGCTTACATGCTAGAGGGATCACTGCTGATCCGTCTCCTTGCACTTCACATTGACCGTGGAAGCGCAGGCAGGCAGGCGGACCAGGAGTCGCTGCAACACGTGTGCTCACTCTGTCAGAGCAACCACAGCTGTAGGGACAGCGGGATCGTGTGCTCCAGGTCTGCTTCTAATACCGAGGCAGACCAGAGAAGCGTTAACCCCTCGATCTAGGGTTAACTTTAGTAAATTACTGAAATTTTCCGTCATTCGTCCTTAACGATAGGGGTTAATGTGTTGTCTACACTAATCAGCCACAACATTAAAACCAGTGACAGGTGAAGTAAATAAAATTTGATCATATCACTACAGTGGCACCTGTCAATGGGTATATTTTGCAGCAAGTAAACAGTCAGTTCTTGAATTTCATTTGTTGGAATTATGGAAAACAGGCAAGCAAAAAGATCTAAATGACTTTGACAAGAAGCCTGGGTCAGCGCATCTACAAATCAGCAAGACTTGAGTGGTGTTCCTGCTGTGTAGTGGTTAATACCAACCAAAACTGGTGCAAGGAGAGACAACCCTTGAACTGGCATCATGGTCATTGGCGAACATGGGGAGTGAATGGTAGCCCGTCTGGTTCAATCACACAAAAGAGCTACTGTAGCTCAAATTGCTCAAAAACTTAATGCCGTCCATGATAGAAAGGTGTCAACATACAGTGCAGTTTGTAGCGTATACGACTGTTTGGCCACAGACCGGCCTGAATGTTTATGATGACTCCTGTCCACCGCCAAAGGCTCCTTCAATGGCTACACTGCCTGGTCGGAACACAATTTCTTTTATATCAGGTGGGTGGCTAGGTGCATCGTTTACCTTGGGGAATAGATGGCAGCAGGATGCACTGTGGGAAGAAAGCTGGCTGGTGGAGGTTGTGTTATGCTCTGGGCAATTTTCTGCAGGAAAGCCTTGGGTCCTGGCATTCATGTGGATGTTACTTTGACACGTACCACCTACCTAGAGATTGTTGCAGACCGTGTACACCCATTCATGGCAATAGTGTTCCCTGATGGCAGTGGCCTATTTACGCAGGATAATGCACTCTGCCACACTACAAAAATTGTTTAGGAATGGTTTGAGGAACGTGGCAATGACTTCACGATGTTGCATATGTGGAATATAATGGAACAACAAATCCAATCCATGGAAGCCCTGCCTCGCAACCTGCAGGACGTAAAGGATCTGTTACATAGCTGAAAAGAGACTTGCGTCCATCAAGTTCAGCCTTCCTTACATATGTTTTTGCTGTTGATCCAATAATGTCTTGATGCCAGTTACTACAGGACACATTCAGAGGTCGTGTGCATTCCATGCCTCGACGCATCAGAGCTGTTTTGACAGCACAAGAGGAACTTACAAATTATTAGGCAGGTAGTTTTAATGTGACTGATCAGTGTATATAATGCATTAAAAAATGTCTGTTTCCTGTGTATGTATTACAACTTTATTACCGCAAATTAAGACCCAAAGCAAAAACCTTGTCTCTATCTATCATGGCTTTTACACAACACATTTTTATATTAGTAGCGTAATGACTTTCATGTTAATCTTTTAATTTCCTATTAAACAGGCAAATTAAGAACCAGATCTGGAAATGCCTATTACTTTTACTGTGTACAAATTTTCTGGTACATTTCCTAGCTTTTCACCGATAAGCTTGTAAAGAAAATATAATTTATAGTACACTGGGTTTTCATTTAGCTGCCACTAGATGGCAGTGCACACATTTGCAATCAATCTATAGCAAAAACTTATAGGACCTTTCATAAATAGCATGACAGTCAGGTTTTTAATTTTGTAGACCATTTTATCCATGATCTTTGCTGTTTGAGCAAAGAGGCAAGCAAATGTATAGATTTGTAATTATGTTAGAAATGTTTACCTCAGCTTAGCATACTAAAGTATACTTGTCACTCTCTGAGGTCCTTTATCTTTATAAAATATTCACTTAATTTTTTTAAGATTTTGTTTTTTGATACAATTTAAATTGAGCGTACAATCTTAACTATTCATGTTGCTAGCAGAGTATAGATTAGGAGAAAAAAACTATTTTTGATTGACATGGAACGCAGAAAAGATCTCCCACAGGATGTCCTTCTGCTCTCCTCCCGTAGCGTGCGGTTGCTATAGAAACGTTCTAGCTGGCGCTTCTAGCCCTGGCTAAGGAGTATAGGAACGTTGCATTCTAGCAGCGTAGCCAGCGTTCCGTCACTAATGAGATATATTTTCTTGGGATGTATCCCAAGCAGGGCAAATAAAAAATTAACTGAGGCGGAGCAGAGGTCAGCCATGAGATGGGTGTTACACAAACTGGAGATAGAACAGAGGAAATGTGATTAACTCTATTTTACATTGAATACACAGTGTATCTTTGTGATATATAGTGCATACAATGTATATGGGAGCTATTGCAGGGAAGATAAAGTATTCATAACTGGTTCACTTTAACATCTGATTGAAAATGGAACAATTTTTATATATATATATATATATATATATATATGAAAAACACAGATAAGGCTTTCTTGCAGTAATCTACATGTAAAAATCCTTTATAGTTTAGTACCACCAAAAAAAAAAAAAAAATGGAAAAAAGAATTGCCATAGTTTTATAATTTGTAATTTTGTAACTAGTGAAGCCAAAGAATATCTGTTCTATAATGTCACATTAAGAATGGCAGGAGAAAAAAAATAGCCCCTTAATATTAAGAACACTGTAGCTCAGCTGCAAATCATTGTCAAGTACAAAATCATCATAATCATTGTAAAGTACAGAAAGTAAACCTTGAAAATTATTTTAGCAATATAAGTTATGAATTTATATAAGGCACAGTGTGACAAAATAATGGCGTTTTAAATTCTTTAGTTTATATTCAATTTAGCTGCTGGATACACTCCGTGGGCACAAATGGGTAAGTGTCTATGTAGCAATAGTTGCTGTTTGTACACCTTGAATTCACTGATCTAGCGCTGCACTCTAGCTAGGAGCCTGGAAGGTGAAGACACCAACCAGACTCCAAGTTTTATGTGTCTTTGGTGATTATAAGTTCTAAATTGTTTAGTGACATCTTGGTGACACTTTGTATAATACAACATATTGCAACTAGCAGAAGTAGTGGATCTGGAATTTTCAAAACCAGGGTTTGAAAATTGTGACTTGCTAGTAAAACTTTGCAATCATTGTGATTGACTCTCATGGCAATCATACTACTGGGAAAGGCTCTTACTGGATTTCTCTGGATTAGCTTACTCACGAAGCAAACAACTCTGATAATGCTGTGTCTAGATCTCCGCATTTGTTATAGTTATAGTTGAAGAGGTTATTTAATATTAAGGCATGATAACCAATTATGAGCATGTACATCTTATATCACAAAAGGGTTTAAAGCGGTTTTGAGTGGACATCTAGTACTCAACATTTAGACCAAGAATGTAAAGTCAGGGGAATGTGTGTTCTTTTTGTCGTAAGGTTTGCAAATTTTTAATTTGTAAGAACTACTAGGAACATGTTTGGTTTCAAACCAGCTTTCCCTTTAACATTTCTTGTGTGTTCTTTCAGCTAAACTGAAATTTCATTTTTTATTTTCTCTCTCCTTAGGGTTCATTAAATACATACCGATTTTGTGATAATGTCTGGACGTTCGTGTTGAATGATGTGGAGTTCAGAGAAGTGACTGACTTGGTGAAGGTGGATAAAGTAAAAATTGTAGCCTGTGATGGAAAAAGTAAGTGTGTTTTTTATTTTCTTGTGTTTTTATTTATTTATTTTTTTGGGTTGTGAAGGATTTGGACATTATCCTGATGTTTTTTGTGTTCCTTTTTTTTATTATTATTATTATTCTATGGCATTTACTGGATATATGAGAGGTAATCTAGCTTTTTGCAGTTCTGAATGCTCCTCCGCCACTGCTTATGTGAGTAGTTTCAGATGGTCTGCCTAGGTTTTTGCTTTATTGATTGGCTTGAGAATCACAATAAACTCATTGCAGTCTGTCTGATGTGCTAACTTTCTTTACCTAAGCTTATGCCAAAAGACTATTTTGTAAGTTTAATATGTGTTATCAAAAATAGGGTATAAGGGGGAACTCAAGAGTCAGTGGTGCTGGTATTGGAGATTAGGACCCCAAACTCTCTATATAGACAATACCACAAAAAATAGATGGATTTAGGAATGCAAAAACGTGCAGTGTAGGTGATAATATATAAGAAAAGAACTAAGTGACTTACCAATCCGTGTTGTGATCCACTATGTACCCGAACCCGGAAATGCTCACGCGGGACACGTGACACGTGACTACCACAGTGCGTGGTGACATAGGACGCTATAAACATGTAATACCAAAAGTGCTAAGATACAATTGGTCTATTACTGTGATTATAAAAAGTGCCAACATCAGGTGTAAATGTAGTGAAGTGATATGATATGAAAGATAGAAGATGTAACTAAGCCCAAGAAGGACAATACAAAAATGTATATACAGTACATGTAGAAACCAATACATCTGCCCAATAAGGAAAGAGAGAAAGATATGTGAGAGAAAACTGTCAAAACCGTGTGGTTGACAAGTAAAACAAAATGTGCTTACGTGAATGAAACCCCCATCACTATAAGGCAGAGATGTGACTATATGTACAAGTTAATATACATTGTAGATTTTAGTGCGGTGTAAGTAACAGGGACCTACACCTGTAAGTGGAGCGCTCAAACACATATACAGCTTACCAAACGTTATTTCATTCAATGATGCAGTATAAAGTTCATGTGAAGAAAAATACAAAAAAGTACAATATAGTGCAGATGGTATTTAAAGTGGCAATGCAATAATTATAATGATGTCATGATGAATTGTACACTCACATTTCAAGGAGCCTGTATATAGAAACACTGGCTCCGTATTGAGGCTTGTGTGCTTATAATGGTAGCACCACCCTTCTACTTCGATTTGGAGTAATTCACAAAGATTCACAGGTCCCTGTTACTTACACCGCACTAAAATCTACAATTTTGTTAAGTGGAATAGAGGATATTTCCACACAAGTGTATAGAGCTGCCTGTAAATCACTTTCATCTTTTAAGCACTTTGTTACACACACCCCTCTGTAAAAAGAGGTTACCTTTGATTGGTATTAAGTTAATATACATATTTACAAAAAATATTAAGGTAAGCTATCTAATCAGAAGCATACTTTACAATTCATACAAAAGTAGTTATCTGGACAAAAACACAAGTTAACTTAAGCAGGGCTGGAGCACTAAATGCCATTCCGAGCCATATAATGAAAAAAGAGAATTTGAATGTATCTACTTCAAAAATATGGTCTTACAAAATACATATGAGCTCAAATATACTGAGCATACAGTCTACTAGCTAGGGCAACTGACATAAGCTAGATGCAGGAAGAGACCTCATCTCGCCATAGCAACAAATAATGAATGTATATAACGTATACTAATCTTGGGGGTGGGGGGGAGGCATGATCTAATGACCAACAATATAAATATCAACAACGTGGACTACTTTTGAACATATTAGTTCTTAAGGAGAGCTATTCAGCTTGAATGAAAAATTAGGTGATGCACTAAATAAAAAAATAAATAAAAAGTTTAAGAAAACAACTTTGAAAAACTGCACTTTGATCTTGAGAAAGACCCCGTGAGGGTCGAAATGTTGATCGGGACTGTTTGTTCGTTATGTAAAGAAGACACCTAAGTAAATATCTACTATTTGAAAATTTCCTTGAGTGCGCCTTCATTTTTCTTTTTATATTTATATTACGTGGTGTGCACCAGGGTATCATTATGTTTTTTTATATATAATGCAACACACAGTGGCGATATTCTGATACTTGCAAACCTCCCATTTTCTGTGTATATTCAAGTTTTATTTTTTTGTTTCCTTTCTCTTAATAGATACTGGTTCAAACACTGCTGAGTGAGCAAAACAAGACTTTTTTTATTTATGGTTCCTGATGGTCTGCGGCCTTTCACACAAATTCATGGACACGACTGTTTATTTCACTGATACATCTGGGGAAAGTTACATATGAGATTTTGGTAGTTGATCTCCCACTCACATTCTAGTACACAGAAGGTTACTATAAAAACTTTTTTTAATGCAAGTATGGAGTTGCCTTTTTTGTTTTTGAAATATGTTTAATAAGCTTTTATTTAATAAACATGCTATAAAAAGAATTATTTTTATTGTTTCATTATTTTACTTGCTTGGTTTGTCTATTCACATTTCAGCAGAATACCAGTGAATGAACATTCCACCTCTTCCACCTGTTCTATTGTTATTTTAAGCAATTGCTGGGGTGAGAAGCACAGCTCTGTGAAAGGGAAACTATAGTCACCAGTACAACTACAGCTTATTGTATTCTGGTGAGTAAAATCATTCCCTTCAGGCTTTTTGCAGTAAGCAATGTCAGAGAAAATGCAGTGTTTACATTACAGCCTAGGGATAACTCCACGGGCCAGTCCTCAGATGGCTGTGTGACGAAGTGCTCTTCGCCACTTGTACCTGGAGAGGACTAATTGCCAGCCTCCTTCCCTGCGACTATGGCCCCTGGAAGATTTTGCCCTTTAAATTCGTTATTTGGGCATAGTGGATTTTATTAGACTGGTTCTGGCCCTTTAAACGCTCTGACAAAGGATCTGAAGTTTTGCTATGGCACTTCGGATGCAGAGTGTGAAGAAAACCCCTGTTTTATGGACTTTGTTTGACTGTTTTATTCCCCCCTCCCCTCTTAGAACACCAGTTTAAACCCTTAATAACTGTCATATTGTCAAACTCTGTCTGACCCTTTTAACTGTCATTTTGTTTTCCTCTGAGGAGGAGTTATTTTGCTGCATGAGTGCTGTTGCTTTTGTGTGCTCATTAAACAGACCTGCTTGACCCTTTCTTGAAGCCTTGGCTCATGCTTGGGGGATGGGATAAGTCTGCAGTGCTGATGGTGTCGGAGTGTTTGGAGTCCTCTGCAAGCAGTAGGAGCATCGATTGGCGGAGGTACTCGGTCGGAGTGCCAGCCGGTCCGTCACATTCTGCTAGAGGGAGTTCCGGGGGCAGTGTTGCACAGTGTGCAGTGCTGCCATTCAGTGTCTCAACCCTCTTCATGCTGACACTGAATTTTCCTCATAGAGATGCATTGATTCAGTGCATCTATATGAGGAGATGCTGAATGGCCAGGGCTGTGTTTGACATGTTCTGGCTCTGTTGCTGATCTGCCTCCTTGACACGCGTAGCCAATAATATAGGAAAGCATTAAGATTGGCTCACATAATTACCTCTGATGATGTCAGCCAAGCAAGCAGGTCAGGAGCAGATTTGAGTACAAGTAAGATTTTACCATATTTAGGGAGGTCATAGGGGGCTAAATGGTAGTTTTAACACTATACGGTCAGGAATACATGTTTGTGTTCCTGACACTATAGTCACCTGAACAACTTTAGCTTAATGAAGCAGTTTTGGTGTATAGAACATGCCCCTGCAGCCTCACTGCTCAATCCTCTGCCATTTAGGAGTTAAATCCTTTTGTTTATGAACCCTAGTCACACTTCCCTGCATGTGACTTGCACAGCCTTCCATAAACACTTCCTGTAAAGAGAGCCCTTTTTATGCTTTCTTTATTGCAAGTTCTGTTTAATATTTTCTTATCCCCTGCTATGTTAATAGCTTGCTAGACCCTGCAATAGCCTCCTGTATGTGATTTAAAGTTCAATTTAGAGATTGAGATACAATTGTTTAAGGTAAATTACATTTGTTTGAAAGTGAAACCAGTTTTTTTTTCATGCAGGCTCTGTCAATTATAGCCAGGGGAGGTGTGGCTAGGGCTGCATAAACAGAAACAAAGTGATTTAACTCCTAAATGACGAATTGAGTGAAATTGCAGGGGAATGATCTATGCACTAAAACTGCTTTATTTAGCTAAAGTAATTTAGGTGACTATAGTGTTCCTTTAAGTAGAAAATATTTATCTAAAAATAGAATTATAAAACTCAATCCACAAGGTACAGGATGTTTGCTTTCCATATTGTAGCAAATTAAAACTTAATTGCAAAATAAAGGCCAAAATAGCAGAGCTTTGACCATAGCCAAGTTGGAGGTTTTTATGTTTGCCTTTTTTCGTTCAGATATACCTTTACTACAGTTACTTTTTTTGTGAATAAACCTAACCAACAAAACCCAGGTTATTGGTGTGCCTTAAGCAGTGGGTAACACTGCTCTGGGAAACAACTGCTATAGTAAATGTAGTAATTATGTTGCTTAGTGCCCTTATTGCAGCTACAATTTTTTTATTTTATTAATGTGTAGATGATTAAAATGAGTTTCAGAAAGGTTACTGCACATTTCCACAGTTTTGTATGAAAAAATATTTCCAACTGGTTATTTTATTGCTTGCTGTGGACAGGAGGTTGCAGATTATGCGACAAGCATACAGCTGTGATATGATCTTGGTTTGAGTTTACACAACATTTTCTGAGTGTCTATGACAAATTCACCTCCAGATAGTATACATCACATTTATACAGTGTACTTGTGAAATCGCAAACAAATTTGTAGATTAAAAGTTAGCTTAATCCTCATCAAGCCATATTCCACTCTAAAGTTTACAGAGAGCCGTACACATCTCTCTGCCCATTTCACTGAAGCTGGGACTGAAGATCATGTACCACAATTCTGCTCATTTAATCTATTAAGCAATTTTAACAGCCAAGCTTTTAACTTTCTGTCCCCAACTGAGATTTCATTTGAGATTTAACTAATAAATACAGTACCCTCTTCTAATATTGGAACCTTTGGTAAATATGAGCAAAGAAGGCCGTAAAAAAAAAAAAAATGAAAAAATTATTTTGATCTTTTGTTGAAACACAAAATATTAAACAATTGCAAACAACACAGGTTTATCAAAAAAAATACGTGTGTGATACAATTCTTGGCATCCCTATAAATTCATATAAGAAAAATATATCTGAAGAATATTCTCTTTAATATTTTAAAGTGATTAGGAACAGGAAATTGCTCAACCATGACTTCCTGTTTCACAGGGCTATCAATATAAGGTAATTTAACACATGGGGCAAACTCACTTAGTCAGTCATCACACTGAGTAAGAAAATGGCTGATGTGTGGCAAAAGGTTGAGTTTCACAAAATGGAAAATGACTATAAGAAAATCGCAAAAGCATTGAAAATTCCCATTTCCATCATCAGGGCCATAATTAACCATAAATAGGGAGATTGTGGCGAAATAATAAATGTTTAAAAATAACTTTTAATATATCTGATTAAAATAGTACCCAATATAGGGTGGAAGTACTGAATGGGTAATGCAAAATAGTACTTGCTATGCAAAAATTGAGGAGAGAAAATAATCCTAGATGATAGAAAAAAATAAAATAAAACCAAAAGTATAAAAATATACGGTTCTTCTCAAAAGGATACTGAATATATGTGAGAGGTAGTTCAATGGACTAACAAACTTTGAAAAAGTATCTCCTAGTAAGTAGATAACAATGTTGCCAGTCAACCACTAGATGTCACTGAACTGCCATTTATGGCTCTATGACAAATTGCTGCGTCGTATCCAAAGTTCTGCAAAATAAGTACTTCATAAGATTATTCTGTGTATTTAGAAAACAATATATTTGCGACTCAGACAGGGAAGGTGCATGTGCCGGTTGGGCTCTGTTATAGTCTAAATATAAGCAAATTAACTAGTACCTACGTATTTGTCAGCCGGGACATGTTCCCTCCATGCTGCAAACCAGATGATCAAGTGAAACCCATTCTACAGCGCTACGGAATCTGATGGCGCTATATAAATAATAATATAAGGTTAATTAAGATAAATAACACGAAGGAAATGTGGGAACCCTATTCGGAAAAAACAGAGAAAAGTCCATGTATCCCCTACTCAGGAGGCTAGAGATATCAAAAGTTTCTCTGCTATTCGAGTCAAGTTTTAAGAGCCTCCCAGTTAGGGAAATACACAGGTAAGCACCCGACGCACATTTCACCCGGCGCCCATTGCCGGGATTATCAGGTGTGCAATAATTAACCCCTTAAGGATGGCAGGAGTACTATGCCGTCCTTTAAAAGGGGGCTCTAAACGCCGCAAGGCAACAGTACGCCCGATGTGCCGCTCTGCACTTACCAAGACCGACAATCCCGGTCGGGGGCACTGACTGATAACCAAGGCAGTCCCCCTGCAGCAGCTCTGGCCCTCTAAGGCTATGTGATTACAATGATCACATGGCCGCAACAGGTAGCTTGCAGCTGCCTCCGGTGGGACTGCCTGGGTTGTCAAGCAGTACCCCAAAGTGCCCAAAAAGTAAATAAAAATTATAAAAAATATATTTATAAAAGATGTTAAAATACATTCTATATATATATATATATATATATATATATATATATATATATATATTTATTGTATATGTTTAATATAAAATAATACAAATATTATATTAATGTATTATACATATATATATACACTTATGACATATGTATTATATATTAAAATACTTTACATATATATTACTTAATATTATGAAATAATAAATATACATAACATATTTATATATAAATCTAAACATATTTTAATGTGAATATATACTGATCTTAAATTGCCAAATTTTATATATGATATATGTTAAAAAATGTTTGTTTAAGATATATATTTATCGAATAAATTTATGTAATCAGGCAATTTTATGAATTATAATTTGAGTGACCTGTCTGACAACCCAGGCAAAAAGTCCAGAAAGTTAATTTGCAAGCTCTATATTTTACCATGTAACTTTCCAAAACACCATAAAACCTGTACATAGGGGATACTGTGGTACTCGAGAAACTTCGCTGAACACAAACATGAAATCATCAGTGAAAAAGAAAATATGAATGCTAACTTTGGCCAGGGTTTGTTACTTAGTGGCTGCTAAAAATGACTGGGCATACCCTAGGTTGTCTACGTTTGCAAATGCTATGCCATGATAGGGGTAATTCTCATTCCTATGCTGCCATATGGTCTCATAAAGGCAACATAAACTCAGAAAACCCATCTGCAAACTGAAATGGGTTGGCCATATATTGCCCCAGTAAATTTCCAAAACACCATAAAACCTGTACATCGGAGATGCTATTGTACTTGGGAGACTTTGCTAAACAGAAATTAGTGTTTTAAAATAGTAAAATGTATGATGATGATTATATCATCAATAAATGTGCAGTTTTTGTGTGAAAAAACACAACAACAACAAAAAATATGAATGCTTACCTTGGCTACTGTTTGTGGCTAAGTGGCTACTAAAAAGACTGGACATACCCCATTTTGAATACCTTGAATTGTCTACTTTTCCAAATAGAATGCCATGATAGGGTTAATTTTCATTCCTGGGCTGACATGTGGTCTCAAAGGCAACTCAACCAATCTGGCATATTTCAATGGGAAAAAACTAAAATCGGAAAGCCTTACATTGAACCCTGTCACTTTTCAGTACACCATAAAACTTGGACATGGGGGTACTGTTGTACACATGAGTTATTACTGAACACAAATATGAGTGTTTTAGAGAAGTAAAATGTATAATGCTGATGACATCATTGGTGAAAAGGCAATTGTTTTGTGAAAAAGGCAAAAAACAGACATGGATGCTAAATTTGGCTAGCGTGTGTGACTAAGTGGCTAGTAAAAAAGACTGTCCATAACCCATTTTGAACCCTGGATTGTCTACCTTTCCAAATTGTATGCTATGATGGGGTTACTTTTCATTTCTGGGCTGCAATGTGGTCTCAAAGGCAACGTAGGACCAACAAACCAATCTGGCAAATTTCAATGTGCGGAAATGGAAAAGGGGAAAGTCCTATATTTGACCATGTAAGTTTCCAAAACCGCATTAATCCTGTACATAGGAGGTGATGTTGTACTTGTGAGACATTGCTGAATACAAATATGTGTGCTT